ACACCAGAAATAGAAGTTAAAACTGGCAGGTGGGAGTGTTTCGAATGCTCAGAATTCAAAGAATCATAGTTGATTCCACCACGGCTACCATATGTGATCTTTGTTACTCGAGTCTTGACGTGGTGGTCGATGTAAGTAGTAGGAGAGCGCACTGTCAGCTACGGCTTTGTTACTAAATCTCCTTCAGCTGTGATAAAATGCCTCTTAATGAAAATGACATACACATGGTTATTGGGCCGAATAATGGTGAAGCCATCAGGCTTCAACCATTCCGAAACTTTGGTATACAGCCAGTCACTTGCGGCAAAGCCTCCGACCAAAATTACGTTTATAATTGACAGTAATATCAGACAAAAATTCCTAAGGAAGGTGCAATTCGCTCACTCCTGCGCTGCTCATGTACAGACTCGACGATACATTTGGTAGAAGGTTCGAAAAATTCTGGTTGTCTTGTTGGAACAGCGAACATGTGGTCCAATTGTGGTCAAGATCGTCCAAAAAGGTCGATTCGGCAAGGAGCTCTAAGGTAACAAGTAAATTATCATATGCTGACGACATACAACACATTCTAAAGAGGGGCGGGCATGGCGAGTCAATTCAAGATTTGGTCAAGATACAAGAAGTGAGGCCTAGTGAGGGGTTGTTTGGTCGCGATTTTGTGAGTCACGTTACTCGCAAGAAAGGCGATCATTTCTAGGAACATTGTTTCAATATCCAAGGGCGCTCCGGCATTGAAAAAAAAAAAAAGACCAGGTCGATATTTTTTCCCTTCAACTTTGGGTGGACTAACTGCATTTGAGATTGCACTCCAAATTGGCTGATTCGGCTCACGTCTTATGTCTGGGGTCCTTCTCAGTCGATATTTTTTCCCTTCAACTTTGGGTGGACTAACTGCATTTGAGATTGCACTCCAAATCGGCTGATTCAGCTCACGTCTTATGTCTGGAGGTCCTTCTCAAAAAACATTGATATCAAAGTCGAAACATTTCCACATCAAATACTCGGTTTCAGAAACATTCTCAGGTAACTAGACTGTGTAAAACAGCAACCTCCATCTGAACTTCTCAAGTAAAATCGACAGCGCACGAATCCCGTTTCAATTTTTCGGAGCCTTCACTGTCCCTGGACCCGATAACGGCGCTGAACAATGGGCACCAAGATAGTGCCGTAAACTGGTTCCGCAGCGGGCTTCACTTGCACAGACTTGCGTCCCGGACCCTCAAACGGCGTCTTCTGCAGGATGGTAGAGAGATTGATGTTCTCTGAGGCAATGAAGAATACTAAATACCCCACGTCAATGTTGGTGCCTTCCTCTAGGCAATAGGTGAATGGGTTAACCCCGCCAGAGTCGTAGCCGAGGGTGAGAGAGCTGCCACCTTGGGTGAGGGTGGGGTAGGTTTCGAATTTACCACTTGTTGGTGATTGGTAGTATGTTTCTGCAAAAGGGGGTGGGTTAACGATGTCCAGTGGTAGTAAAAATTATAAATTACGAATGCTAAAGTCAGTGTTGTCGAAGTAAAAGGCGTTGATGTAGAGATCGCGATCGCTGTTGTTAGTAATTTTATATCCGTACATCGTCTCCTCTGACACAATGATGTCAATGACACCGTCGAGCTGTAAGAGGTTGTCCCCAGTCGGCTTCAAAATTGCCTTTCCCGAAATTGAGTAATCACTTGTGCGTTTGAGGGTATTGCATTCAATGACGATGGGGGTGTCGACGAGAGCATTTTTGACCTCGCGGTTAAGATGCCAATAGAAATGAGCAGCGCCATGAAGGACCGGAATAATTTCCTGCGGGTCGTTTGCTACGGTATGAGGCATACACGTCAAGCTGTACTCTGCGAGACGCGAGTCCAGGATGTCGAACGCTATTCTGTTGTCCACAATCGAAAGGCCGAGTCTCGCCTTTTCCTTCTCTAGGACAGGCCGGATTTGCCTCTTTCCAGGATGGAACTCTTCCATCATTCTCGCCAGAGTCTCATACAATCTGGTAAGTCTTTCATCGAGTGAAGCAAACACTAGAAGATCCTCCAGTTTCCCGGCTTTCGTTTGCAAAACGCAAGAAGTTGCGGAAAGAGGGGTGATGGCAGTGCTGGATGTATGTTTCGTCAGCGTCGTGGTGAATGGGCCAATGTGAGCCGCAGAAGCAACAACAAAGACACAGAGGGAGGGTGAGTCATCGATTGTGAGACTGTCGTTGTATAGACTGAATTCAGAACCCTCTGTGACACCATGTGCAGATCCGGCTTGCATCTCATATGCTGAGCCCTTCATCTTGATAGGGAAACATACACGTCCTGTTGTAGGTGCTTTGGAGTTGAAAATGATGTGATTTTGGTTCTCCCCTTCGCACTGGGGGTTTTGGCTGTGGAAACAACATCAGTCTTGGAAATATTTCAGTTGGGTAGACTTATGATGGTATCTTGTCCATTCTCTCCAGAAGAGAGGCATACGTAAGTCTATCCGTGCCCGCCGATTTGAGAGTAGGAAGGAGGGCTTGGGTGAACGGCCCACCCTTGAGACTGTCACCCGCTTTTTCTTTTTGTGTGCATGCTGCCAAGAGGACGTGGTTGGCTAATCCGCTTCTGGTATATCCTGGTGCAGTGCTCGATCCACGGGATCCACTGGTGTGCCAGATATCACGGTCAAGGTCCTTTGGTATATGTTGTCTCAAATTTTCGCTAAGGCCTCTGACTTTACGACTTCCTCACGTCCCGGAGCCTGAATGGCAGCAGTCGAAGATGACGGTCTAAACGAGATTTGTGTCACCCATGTCAAGGGTAGGTTGAGAGAAATTTCTTACTATATTGTCCCCATGTCGATCCGCTATTCCGTTCAGTAACGCTGCGAGAGTATGGTCGGGGATTCCATGGACTTGCCTTGCAGGAATGGTGCAGTAGTCCTGTGGGATGATCATCTGTATCTGGTTGGATATGTCTCCAGAAGGCCAGCCAGTCGGAGCGTCAGTTTCGTCGCCATGTCCTGCAAAGAAAATCAAGATTGGGTCGTTCTTCTTGATACGTTTGTCAGTTTGAATTTCCAGGAACGCCTTGATGATGTCAGCGCGCTTGGCGTTCTCGTTAGTCAGAAAGCGGATATGTGAATCGGGAACTTTTAAGTCTTGAAGTAGATAGTTGCACACGTCCGTTGCATCCTTGATACACCCGTTCAGAAGATCGGCATATTTGTACTCATTAATGCCGATGACGAGAGCAAACAATGACTTCCTCGCTCTAGATCATTGTAAGTATTGTCTGACCACGGGGTGAAGTGCAAATCCTTACTGATCTGGGACAGTGATAATTGGTGGGGGCTGGGCTGGTTTCACGACGGCTGGTTTCACGACGGCTGGTTTCACGACTGGGGCTGGTTTCACGACCGGGGGCGGTTTCATGACCGGGCCACTGTTATGAAATTGATGAGAGTTGAATTAGAGTTGAATCTGACACTGTGAACTCACGTTGGCTTGGGGTGATTTACCGCTGCGGAGTTTTGAGTGACCGAGGGACGCCTATCAAGTAAACGTCGGGAATGAAATGTCTGAGCAGAACGACATGAACGTACTGTACAAGGTACCAGAATAGGTCAACATAGCTGAAGACTGAGACGTTGAAAAAGCTGAGAAACATTTGATGATCAGAGATATTTGCGTGAGAAATTTGAGATAGAAATGCACTGTGTTTTATACTATCTGGAACCGACTTGTAAAGAGGCCGAGGGGGCGTATCGGCAATGGTCATTAAGAAAAATGATCTGCCTCAGCCTGACAGCTCGCGTTTTGAGTGGGTGGTGCGACGCATGTTGGGGTACGCACTATCTCCAAAGTAGATGTGGGCACAATTCATTTCGTGAATGGCCGTTCTTCAGCGCTAATTAATTATCATCTCACACTGAGCGTCACTTGGCCAGAAATCCCTGTACTTACCTAATTTTGTGGAAGAGATATTGCTCTTGGCAGCAATGTCGCGAACATGGAGACCCTAGACAAAAACGATATTAGAACAGATAATTAGAGACGTCAATTAGGTACGAATACGAACGCTAGAGAAATAGGCCGATCGACTGAGCGCCTGCACTGAGGTCATCTGGGGTAATTACGCAAGAAGCCGGGAGAGAAGGGAGTTGGATATTCTTCCGTAGTTGATCATCCCTCAGGATCTGCGTGAGGAGTCCATTTCCGCATCTTCCATGGAGGGTCAGCAAGGGAGTGGTTGGAAGAAGGGGAATCGTACCCCAGATCTAGGAAGTCCCCAGGCGATGTGGCCAGCTCTTCCTGGGTTCTTCAGCCGAATCGACCCATTGATCCCAAAGTCGAGAAGGTACCCGTCCACAAGAGCACAAGCAGGTTGCGATCCCAATATCCTACACTGGTCCGTTAAGTATGATCCCTACAGGAGGAAGTGAACACACACCTCGAAGACATGCTTCAACGGATCCGTAACTCCCTGCCACGTACCCACCAGCCCTTTGTGTCGCTCCCTCACAACTATGTACAAATCCTGATACTAAGCCTCCCACGAGACTAAACAGTCGTGCTGGACCCGCTTCTTGTAATTCGTCATCGCACCCCATGATACAGATGGGGCGTTTCTAGGGGCTAGACAGATGTAATATAAGCGGTCGGGGTATTTGGCAAAGGGATTGCATCGATACGTAATCTGGGGCGTTCATGGGCCAAACGGATGTAGCGGAATGCAAGGTGCAATAAGGAGGGTTGGTAGTAGGGTGGTTGCCTGGTGCTACACTGCTACGATGTGGGTGACGATAAGTGTGTGTGGGTTTCCGGACTCGGAAGCATGCAGGAAACAGTCGAGTTATATTCGGATGGTGGATGTGCTGCAAGATGGCTAGGATTTTGTGCGTGGTTATTTCGATTGGAAAAAAGAAATGATGCCATCAGCGGCGTCGTTGCCCGACATCGTCCGCAGCCTACACCAAGATTAGCGTGCCCCCTTTGTGAAGCCCACATGTAGAACGGGTATACTCCAGGCAACGTACCAATTACTGAATATTCGTCATGATTCACATAGGCCTCCACAGAACACAATTGGTTCCCACGCGTCTCGTTAACGTTTATGTAACATTCAAAGTTGAACGGAGCAAATTGCTCTCTATAATTCGATGATATATATACGTTAAACTACAAAATACACCTATCATTAAATGGTCGCACTCTTGGCAAAATAACTGCGAAGCACGGAGCTTTGAACTTTTCAACACTGCGAAATATCTGGTTCAATCGCTATAAAAATTTGAGGACGACTTGTTGATTTGTCTAGATACTCAGGAGATATTTTTTGGAAGGGGCAGAAATTGAACAAATCATGAGTGGTAGGTGTAGGGGCTTTCATACTGAGGCTAATATACAACTGAAAAACTAATAATCCAACAAAAGCAGCCTTCTACTGTGGAATCTTCTTGATAGCATCCTCGAGAAGATCATCAGGCGTAACACCAAAAGTTTGAATGGCCGCTTCGAGTGACCCTCCACTCAGGTAATCTTTAACCAATGAGGTCTTGCCTATGAGTTTCACCTTCTTACTGATCGGAACGTCGTCCTCATAGTCGCCTGATAGAATGGCGGAGGCGGTGGTGCTGATGTTCTCGGAGGCTTGGACATTCCTAAATAAATGCACCCAAGCGTCATTCCTCAATAAAATTCATGAACGGCCGTCAGCTTACCGAATAATCTTCTTCTCATCAGTATACACCACTTCAATGTCATAGACTGCTTTGAGAAAAATGATATCTCCAGCTGTCCCAGCCCCGATTTCCTTGCTTTCCAAGGTAAACACTTGACCAGGCGTATATAATACGAGGGTGATGGGAGCTAACGTAAATCCAGCATGATAAGCAAAGCAGAGTATAAGTGTCAGCAAGTACCTACAGGGAGTATCGTTCAGAACACGAATTGTTGCAGCATTTGGGTCGCTGCTGCCGAAAACGCCGCGGCCTATTCTTCTGGAGTTGACGTTAGTAACCCCTTTCGATGACAATTTTAGAGGAAACATACATCCTTTGGCTTATAGATATTCGGGCACCCATTTCCTGTGATCTTGAAGTTGAAGGCGAACTTGCGGTTTAGTATTTCTTTCTGCTTTGGCCTCTATATATCGACGGAGGGGCACCAAAGCAGAACTCAAAGAGAATCTCCGGTGCCCTAAAAACGGTTATAGCCGTTTTTTTAACATTGACTATTGCAGAGCTCTTCTTTTGGGGCTCAACCCAGTTTGTACAGATGTACGCTTTGCAGAAGCGTGCCCATGAATCCGTAAATAGCTCTATCTGTAGATCTATGGGTCATTCCTTCCCAAGCTAGCATATCCTGTCAATCGCCAACGTGTTGAGGGACAACACTGAGGTTTCGAAATTTATTTCAGCATCATTGGAAATTGGGGTTGAACATTGAATTTTGCGCTCTGGTGGGCCATCTGCATCAGCTTTCTACAAATAGCCTGGTCACAAGCAAGTACTTTTTGTTATTCTATTCATGGTACCAAGCAAGGGAATCAATCCCTTGAAAATTCGGTGAGAGAATTATTGTGGCTCTGGACACCTCCTATTTTGCCAGAAAATTGTTGTTGACTTTGGGAGTCCATCACCTCGTTGTAGACCTGTTGTCGGCGCGTTGTAGGCTAACCAGAAATATTTTCTCAGATGTCCGGCGAAGCCCTGCCTGACAGCCTCGTCCCGCAACCGTGCTAGAAGGTGTTATAAGTGGTGGAGATGCGAAACAAATTCATTTTTCATTTAAAAACATGTCCCAAATTAGCGTAGCCTGTGAATCTTCAACATGTTTTAGGGGGATTGAGAACCAACACTGAAGTATTAGAAGACACTTACCCGCATCGTTCCTCAACATGTTGGCAATTGGTTGGCAGTTGGTGGGCCATGAACTTTCTAAAAATACCCAGCACACATACGAGGAAATTTGAAAAATAGTCTGCGCTCTACATATGTCGCCCTCACATGTCAGCATTCTTCGTGGTTCTGTTGTTCAGAACAAGTCTAGCGTCAAAGGACTCGGATTCAATCCCTCTAAAGTGCGATGGGATTTTCCTTGTGCTTCTGAGAATTTTTGGCCCACTTCGGCAGAACATCGTCCGAGTCGGAAACTTGTATACTCATCACCTCGTTGTAGACATGCTGTAGACTACCTAATGGCGCCTACTTATTCGGATATCCTACAGAAGACTGATGACCTTGCTTTGCACCCGTACAGATTCGAGGAAGATACGACCCCAACCGTAATGTGTAAGGCTTGGTGGCGGAATTAAAACCCGCCCGTTCATGCAAGTGACTCCGGCACAAATTTGCCATCTGAATCGGCATCTTGCACCCTCATCTGAAATGAAGGTAAGGTTCAAGTTTTGGGTGCGGCGGACTTGCTTTATGCGGCGCCTATAACCTATGAAGTATATTACAAGGATAGGTCCTTTGCTGAGAGACTTGTCTACATGGCGAGCAATCCGTCCCTCGGTTTTACTGATGTATTTTCTGTAAAACAAGTTGGGATTGACATCGGGAGTGTATAGAGCAATGGTCTCAATCACAATTATCAGACAAGGACAGGTCATTTGCTGAAAGATGTCTGTACGTCAGTGTCAGGGGCGAGCTACTATTTCCTCATCTGCACGAATCAAGCTAGTGCACATATAGTAGAGGGATCGACGATCGATCAACTACGGAAGAATACTGAATTTCCTTTCCTCACGGCTTCTTGCGTAATTACCCCAGATGACCTCAGTGCAGGCGCTCAGAGAAATGATCTCGATTCTCGATCCGTCTATTTATATTAGCTTACTCTTACAGTCATCCACCAGCCAATGAGACGCCACCATCATTTGAGACACTTTTGCCTACCTAATATCTCACTCAATACTACACCAATTTTTACAAAACAAATTTTAACATGTAGTAAAAGCTCATATCTACCACTCTACGAAGTTTGGATGCAGTCAAGGCAATATTGACAGTGCTGTGGAGTTTTCAAAATGGACTGTTTTTCGGAAGTAGCCGAAATACAGTCACACCACTCATTGAGACACCCATAATATTGGTTTTTCTTCATGAAAAGTTGCTCAAACATTCTGAAACTTGGCACAGTTATAAAAGGGTATTTATCTCAGAGTTTCATGTAGTTTTTGGAGTGAAAGGTTGTGCTTAAATTTGTTGAAGCGAATTTTTCAATTTCGGTGTCTCATTAGCTGGTGGATGACTGTATATTATTATTAAGGAAATGCCTGGCTTTCGTGGGCGCATGTTTGGCTAGCCCTTCGGCGCTTAGGCTCTCTGCTCTTTTGTTGTAATCCTCCACCTAAGACCAACGTGCTTGGCCTCTCATGTCATATGGCCACTAAATAATTAATCACTCTTTCGGCACCTACACACTCTCTGCTCTTTTGTTGTTCTCCGGCTTTCATGTGTACATGTTTGGCTCCTGTCCATTTTCTGTGCTCAAGCTGCCGAAGTGAAGCGAGGCATGTCTTGTGTAAAATGATGATTATTAGCGCTGAAGAAAGGCCATTCACGAAATGAAATGTGCCTGCATCTACTTGGGAGATAGAGCATACCACAACATGCTCCGCACCACCCACTCAAAACGCGAACTATGTCAGGCTGAGTGCCAACTGAGTGCAGATCATTTTTCTTAATAAGATGAGAAAGTATTGCCGATATGCCCCATTGGCCTCTTTACACGTCGATTCCAGATATCACTTGAGACAGCGACGAATATGTAGGGCTACATATGTATAAACATATGCTCTCAAAACTGCGGGATACGCTGTAATCTCTTTTGTTCTGATATATTTGCTCTCAATTTCTAAGTTTGGTGATGGAATTTTACATCCATCATATGCATAAAACAAACTTACAATAAAAAAAGGATCAGATCCACACACTGGACACATGACAAGATAATTTGTGTTGGAATATGCTAAAAATATCTTTTGAAAGTTTCTTATTTTTTCCCTCTTTTCTAGCAAGAAATATGTAATACATCTTCAAAGATTGTTTTTGATGAACAAAGGTCAAATATTGATAAGATATGTTAAAAACATGTTGAATCCATTGAGATAGATCTTTAGACAATTCAAATTGACCCTATATCTTTCAAGTAAGTTTCTATATGTTTTTAACATGTTTCATAAGTATTTGGTCTTCATTCATTGAAAACAATCTTTGTAGATGTATTACATCTTTCTTACCAGAAAACAGAAAAAAAATAAGGAACTTTCAAAAGATATTGTTAGAGTATATCAGCACAAATTATCTTGACATGTGTCCAGTGACAAAATGAACAATTAAATATGATCTGAATTCATATTCAGAATATGCTAAAATCTTGGCCCAGGAAGTTCAGCATTTTCTAAATATGAGTTTAGATCATATTTATTCATTCATTTTTTGGATCTGATCCCTTTTTTTATTGTAAGTTTGTTTTATGCATATGATGGATGTACAATTCCATCACCAAACTTAGAAATTGAGAGCAAATATGTTGGGGGAACACTGGTTTTGGTCTATTCTGCAGTATAAAACACAGCGTTTTTCTATCTCAAATTTCTCATGCAAATATCTCTGATCATCATATGTTTTTCAGCTTTTTCAACGACCCCGATATATGGTACGATACTCATTCCTATCGTCCAACGCCGGTAGTGAGGTCGGAGGTCAATCAAGTGCAGGAGGGTTACGTGTGAGATGGTTCTGGAGGTTGGTTACTTTTGGGTATACTTGAACGCTTTCTCTTCAGGACTCGACGCAAGTGTAGCCTGTACATATGCTCAACTACTTGTGAAGCTCTGAATATATATGCTCTACACAAGGACCCCGGACCTCGCCGTCTTTCTGTAAATCCTCTTCCCTTTTTCAGGTAACGGGAATCTTATCATATCCGTTTGGCACGAGTGCAGCTGAAAACACATTCGAGATCGTTGGAAGTAGCTGACAGGTACATGAGTAAGCTCACAGTCTGTGTTCAACAAATGATTTACATACCAGGAATAGAAAGAAGAGAGCGATGGAGGGCCGTGGGGGACGATAGTGAATGTTGTGAATATACTTAGTATGCGCGAGTCGTTCCAAAGTCGTTCACAGTCCAACGTCTTTGCTGAAGAACACAACTTTATACTTATAAGTGACCCTCCATAGGCAGCAACAAGGTATACAGCAAAGTATACTCTACAATCACATATATCAGTCACTATGTCACGTACCAAACGTAGTAGCTGGACATGACAATGACTTGTAATGAACAGGCCAGCCGGTCCCGGCTGGACTTTCCAAAACATCCCTTTACCAACGGACCAGCCAGATGCATACAAATGGCTTGCGGGCACGGCGTCTCTTGCCGCGGCAGCTACCTACGGCAGCCTTCTGGGTGTCCCGTCGGCATCACACCATAGTTCCCCAATCTTTACTAGAACAACTGTAATACTGTTACCTGCTTTGATGTTGTACTGTTTGCTTCTATCAGTAGTAGCTAATTGTAAACCTCTGCCCTAAGCTACTTGCTCTACCACACAGCTGCTGGTCAGCAAAGCATGCTGTATATACCCCAACCTGCTCTAATGGTAAATTACCTGTGTCCATAATATTAATCAATGACATCTATTGAAATTGAATATGTCAACTCTGGTTAAGCATTTGATTGACTCCAATGGGGCGGTTATTTCAACTCCCACGGGGCATTTGATTCACTCCAGCAGAGAATTTACAGCTGAGTATGTCAACCACCATGGGCATTTAAATTTGACTATTTTGACTCCATGAAGAATTTGATTGACTTGAGGGGTTATTATGTTTAATTGTAAATGCATTGCCAGAGTTGACATACTCAATTTCAAATGCCCTGGAGGAGTGAACCCAATGCCCCATGGGAGTCAACATATTTGATTTAAAATACCCTGTCAGAGTAAATAAAATGCCCTGTCGGAGTAAACTACATGTGCCGCGGGGGTCAACATATTTGACTCTAAATTTCATGACAGAGTGAATAAAATGCCCTGTCGGAGTGCCCTGTGAGAGAACATATTTAATTTTATATGCCCTGACAGCATGAATAAAATGCCCTGTCGGAGTGAATTAAATGGCCGCGGGGTCAACATATTTGATTTTAAATTCGCCGACGGGGTCAATAAAATGCCCCGTCGGAGTGAATAAACTGCCCCGTGGGAGTTAACATATTTAATTTTAAAAGCCCCGACGGCGTAAATAAAATGCCCCGTCGGGGTGAATTAAATCGCCGCGGGGTCAAAATATTTGATTTTAAATTCGCCGACGGGGTCAATAAAATGCTCCGTCGGAGTGAATAAACTGCCCTGCAGAAGTTAACATATTTAATTTTAAATGCCTCAATGGAGTGAATTAAATACCCCATGAAAGTCAATCAACTGTCTCCCACCCAATTCAAATTTTATATTCCCCATATCAGAGTGTATTGAATGCTTTGCAGGAGTCAACATATTTAATTTTACATGCCCTGACGGAGTCAATGAAATGCCCCGCCGGAGTTGTGGGGGAAAAAAATGAGCTGTACTGTTATAGCTTCTCAATACATCTTTCCAGCATACTATAACTGTTGTAAAATAGGTTCAAGTTTACTTTGGAAAAGAATTTTGGTGCATGGTGGAGAAATGAGGTTGAATGCATGAAATATCTCGCAACATGATATTGTTGACTTTTCTGTATACTTTGCTACCAAATCTCAACATCTGAGCCTTTCTTATACATAGTTAACATATGGCAGAATATATATCCCCTGCTCCGAAGCAGTTTTCTGATGGTTTGGGGGAGCTGGAGCTTGAAAGGGTGAAAATATGACTCTAAACATGAAACCACATTCTTTCTTATTTCCTTTCACTATCTAAATCTTGTTGAAATGCTCCCATACTTTCCCCAAATATAGCCTACATACTTTAGAATCAATTCAGATAGGTGGGGGAAGCAGTTGTGAGGGAAGAAAAAAAAATATAACTTGATGTATGCAAAATGGCATGTTGTGCAACTGGTTTGTATAAAAATTCATGCACCAAATAGCTCTTTCCGAGGTCTATTCACAAAAACTTCTTCAATCACTGAGAAAACTATTCCAAATTATTCTATTCCTTTCTGGGATCCCCCCAATGTCTTTGTTTTGTTGGCGCGTTGCATCGCCAATGAGCGCGGCGCAGTGCATAGTTTCAGATGGTGTGTGAATAATGTGCTCCTTCCATATTAGGTTGCCGCTGGCCCATATTTGGTAAGGCGGGCTGCCAGAGTTGTTCTACTTCTAAAAACTAAATGGTGCACACCTCAACTATCTGACCTCCAATTCAGTGGATCTTTCTTTTGTATTATGAGGATTTGTCATGGCTACTAGCAGGACCTTTCATCGATATTGTGCGTTGATTTCTTGACAATATATTTCTTGTTTCTGCAAATCATATATTCCAAGCCATTGCATGTTTCAGTTCACATGGATGGATGATCTGGGCACCAGCTTAAAAATGCTGTAGTGGATTGACTCCTCTATCTTGAATAAATGCTTCGCCAGAGCTGACATATTGAATTTTGAATGCCCCATCGGAGTCAATCAAATGCCCCGCGGGAGTCAACATTTTGAATTCTCAATTCCCTGTCAGTGTCAATCAAATGCTCTGCCACAGTCAATAAAGTGCTCTGCTAACTTGATGTATTCAAGATCATGCCACAGATGTCCATATTGTGGAGGTCATGTTTTCAATTTCAATGTCAAACACCCTGATGGGGCCATTGCCGACAATGCCTTCAATCTCAACCTCAAACACCCCGACGGCAACATCCTCCGTGGTGCTTTCAATTTTAATGACAAACACCCTGACGGAGACATCCCCCGCAGCACCTTCAATTTCAATGTCAAACACCCCGACGGAGACATCCCCTGCGGCGCCTTCAATCTCAACCTCAAACACCCCGACGGAGACATCCCCCGCAGCACCTTCAATCTCAACCTCAAACACCCCGACGGCGACATCCTCCGCGGTGCTTTCAATCTCAATGACAAACACCCCGACGGAGACATCCCCCGCAGCACCTTCAATTTCAATGTCAAACACCCCGACGGAGACATCCCCCGCAGCACCTTCAATTTCAATGTCAAACACCCCGACGGCGACATCCCCCGCGGCGCTTTCAATCTCAACCTCAAACACCCTGACGGTGACATCCCCCGCGGCACCTTCAATTTCAATGTCAAACACCCTGATGGTGACATCCCCCGCGGCACCTTCAATCTCAACCTCAAACACCCTGACGGCAACATCCTTCGCAGTGCTTTCAATTTTAATGACAAACACCCTGACAGAGACATCCCCCGCGGCACCTTCAATTTCAATGTCAAACACCCCGACGGAGACATCCCCCGCAGCACCTTCAATCTCAACCTCAAACACCCCGACGGCGACATCCTCCGCGGCGCTTTCAATCTCAACCTCAAACACCCTGACGGTGACATCCCCCGCGGCACCTTCAATTTCAATGTCAAACACCCTGATGGTGACATCCCCCGCGGCACCTTCAATCTCAACCTCAAACACCCTGACGGCAACATCCTTCGCAGTGCTTTCAATTTTAATGACAAACACCCTGACAGAGACATCCCCCGCGGCACCTTCAATTTCAATGTCAAACACCCCGATGGAGACATCCCCTGCAGTGCCTTCAATCTCAACCTCAAACACCCCGACGGCGACATCCTCTGCGGCACTTTCAATCTCAACCTCAAACACCCCAACGGAAACATCCCCTGTGGCACCTTCAATCTCAATGTCAAACACCCTGACGGAGACATCCCCAACAGAACCATCAATTCCAGTTTGACACCCCAATGGAGCCACAAATGAGTAGACAAGGTGTGAGTAGCTAAATGAAAAGCTTTCATTTCTTAACTACAAGGTGAGTGTTTCCCTAATTCAGTTTTTGGTTGATATGGAGACTATCTTGCAGGAGTTGGATGAGATAAAGATTAAGATACATTATGCTACAGATCTAGATGGATGTAAGTAAGGGGAGAGAGGCCCCAGTTAAATTTTTTTGTAGTTCCATCAGGATGGGCTGAGAGCCCGTCGGGACGTGGTCAGAGCCCGTTGGTTGAAAAAGTGGTTCTGCCGCGGGAGCGTAAACCCTGCCAGGGTCAGAAACCGGCCGCTTTGTTGCCAATGGAACAATGGCAATCAAACCGGCCGCCCCGGCTGACCCGTTCACTACGACTGATTGTCACGTCCAGCTGTTCCATTGTTATTGGACCCATGTGACTGAACTAACTACATCAGGAAAATCACACAGGTGTGGCGGGCCATGAAGGCGTGGCCAAATGTGGCCAGCGTGATTGATCTGGCGCCACTGTGTCACAACTTTGATTTTGGGGTAAATTCAACCACGCATGCCACAATGATCATCCGTGCCCACATCCTGGGGTAAATTGAGCCACGCGTGTCACGATGATCATCCGCGCCACATTCAAAGATGTAGAGTAATGATAAATGAGACTACTACGTAGTACTGAACTTGTAGTTAAGAAAATGAGACTACAAAACTTGAAGTGTACGACTCAAATACTAGTACTAAAAACAAATCTCATTTGCATGGTGGTCTGCATACTTGTTCACATAGAAGGCTTCGAAGACATCGAGGGACCAGGTGTGTGAAAAATGAGGAGGAAGGTATTGGCGGCCGAAGACGGGGATGAGATGTGCGGCGCGGAGGACAGAGTCCAAATGGATCACAGTGGTCAGACGTTCTCCGTTACGTGTGCACTCCGGAGCGACATTCCACATCCCTGTGATCTTGTCTGGAGAGCGGCCGACCTTCTTGAACCATTCGACGAGGGCACAGGGGTAGGTAGTGTCGTTGTATGTGAAAGAGAAAAGGAGGAGTACGCGCACGGCGCTCATTCCCCGAAATCCCGGTTTTGATTCATCCTCAACGACGAAAGTGCAGTCATGACGTTTTCCTATACCTCTCCAGGAGGGCGTCGAACGGATGCGTTCCCGGTGCATTCCACGGACTCCAGATGGATCGCTAGGCGCGTAGAATGTGGCGGTTGCGGAGGGGAACACGGAGATGGGAGAGGTGATGGTGGGTTCAACATCGACATATCCCTCTTCATCTGGGGTGAGCTGGTCGGCAAGGAAGTAATGGGCGAGTTGATAGAGGGAAGGGATTCCAATGTGAGTGGCGAGGTCCTTGAGATTACGGGGATATGAGCGTTCTTTAACCACTTCGTAAGCTCATGTGATACAGTGCTCAGAATGGAGTAATGACTCACCTCTTGTCCGGGCGAGAACAACATTGCCCATTACCCGCTCAACATCAACTGGCTCCCCATCCTCACCCTCATCCTTATCGCGTTGAGGTGGAGGACGTTCCGGAGGCAGCATTTTTCGACTGATGAAGTCGGCCTTCGTCGCGGCAAGCTTGTCAAGCCGTTGGTTGGTAAGTAACATTTGACCAAGCGCTTCGAATCGACTTGACCGACGCCATGGCTTCTTGACTGCAGTAATATGCCGTGACTCTGTGATAGAAGAGCAAATGCCGTTGAGCGCGCCGAAGTCTTCAATGTTGCGACGGAAATGGGATAGCGCATGTTGACGAGGAAGATTGAACCCATTTTCTTCGCGGACTCCTGTTGTGCGAAAAATGTTCCTGTGGAGATGAAATCGTGCTAGAGCAGCATCAAGGTCATTGAGTGTCGTTTGGTCGAAGTCAGAACGGCGGGCGATGTAACAGAAATCGAGGAAGGTGCCGAGACACATGACCATTTCATCAGGGACAAACCCCACAATGGCGGGTAGGTACACCTTCATCAGTGCCTTGGAATCGTCGCCAGTCCACTGTTTGAAACGTCGACCCTGTTTAAATCTGCATAGACCCGGAAACAAGGGCGTGGCAGCAATTCTACTCAAGCCACGTCAGATTATGAAGGGAAAGCACATTTGTTAAGGCACAACTTACTGGCAGTCAATCTCATCCAATATCTTGTCTGCCCCCGTTCGGCCATGCTCGAGATCCAGGTATTCCCCAACCCATGTAACCAGGTGGTCCTTGAATGTTCCTTTGATTACTTGGTGAAGGAGATCCGCTGAGATCAACTCATGGATGTCCGCGCGAGGGAAGTCGCACGTAAAGGGCTGAAGTGACATGAGTACACTGGCACGTCTTGTCAAATGTATGAGATTCTTACCACAACGTCTTCATCAATCCCAAATTCATCCCATAGTTGTGTTCCGCTGAATTGCTCGAGCAAAGTTTCTGTAAGGTCATGGCGCTGTGGACCACTTGGTGGGTCCAGCTTATTACATAGTGATGTGCATCTAATAAGGAGTCAATAATAAAAACATTGGTAAGGTGTATTATGCATACCTGGGACACCAGCCCTGAACAATCCCTGTAAGCATAACCTGTTCAGGGTAGTCGGCGATGAAGGGACCAAGATCGTAGATAACTCGACGAAAGTGCCCATCAGGGCAGCGGCGAACAACTGGCTTCGTCATCGCTGCCTTGAGCAGCAAAAGAATTGCTGAAATGGATGTGTGAAATAGTTGACGCTTGAACTTGCGGAATTCAGGATCACTGTCGTATTTGCGATCACCTGGTTTCAATCAGTATATTAGAAGAGGGAACTGATCATGAAGGAGCACTTACTTTTAGGAATGGCAAAAAAACCGATTGGAATGACGCCCTGTCGATGCCCACGATGAGCAACGTTGTGTAGGTTGCCAGGAGAGAGATAGAACGGGTGGTATTCCACATCGCCCGTTGCGACCGAGACTGTAGTCTTGTCGCTGCCAAGGATTCCTGCGACGTACATGGCCCCCTTGGTTGTGGGGTCATCATTGAAAATCCGATCCTATTAGTGCAACAGTTAGTATGAGTATCTGAATAACAAAGGGAAAAAAAAACTTACACATTGCCGCCAAGCAAAATTGGCTGACATGAAATCGCTCCACCTTCGTTTCCCATTCGCATCAACTTCCACGTAAGGCGCTGTGTCGAATTCCCCATCGAAGTCAGGGTTGGCAAGCATGTTGCTGAGGACAACATCAGAATCGCGGAACCATATCTCATATTCTTTCTTCTTCCAACTGGGTGCTGTAGAAGGGAGGTCGTCCGGGACCGTCGTTTTCATGCATTTCCACGGCGCATCTCCCTCAGACGATGCATCAATCATGTCGTAGATTTCTTTGTAGCTCGCAAAAGGACCGGTATGCCCGTGCTTCATCGATTGCCATGCCCAAAGCTCCAGCAAATAGTTTATATTAGTCTGGGACATCTCGTCGATTCGAAAAAGGAAGTCGGCGGTCTTGAATTGGATGTCGTCCTCGTAAGGAGACCAGTCCTCCGGGTCAGCAGTGGTGTGGGGAGGTGGTGGAGTCCCCTCAGGCAACGTGTTCCCATGCTCATCGCAAGGTTCACCTTTAGGAATTATTAGTTTTTGGTTTGTTGTTGTAGTTGTTCACTCACCATTCAAAAACGGATGGTATTGTTTCGACGCACGACGATGGAGAGGAGGGGGGCTACCACTAGGTGCTCTCGAGTCTCTTGAATCATCTGGTAACATCGAAAAGTCGTCTTGGGGACTACCGCTTGGTCCAGAAGGTGGTACGACGGCACGGACTGCGTTAGCGTCTCGGTGGAATGTGTTGAAGTGATATGTTTGGCCATGAACGCTGCGAAAGGTTTGGGGGCAGCCAGCCAATCTGCATGGATAGCAAAGGCCAAAGGACGACTTCTTTGCCTGTTTTCAAGGCATGGATTGGTGCTGAGACAGGAGGTATTGGAAAATTTAGGACTTACGAGGATGAACCGGAAACCGGCTAAATGTTTAACATCAGCCGTGTTGCCTTTCCAACCAGCACGCCATCCAAACCCCCTGCCCTGTTCCTTGCTCTTCCACTTGCCTCCTACGATGTCCGCACCTGAGGAGCCTGAGGTTCTTCCAAAGCGACGTATCACTGCTGATGGCGAGTTAGGCCAGCTACACAACAAATACTCTCGCAAACGACGACGTACCAAAGAAGAAATCGCAGCCGATAATGCCCGAGAAGCAGAAGAAAAGGCAGAAAAGGACCATCAGGCAGCTAAAGCCCATGCGCAACGATTGCGCATCGCCGCTAAAAAGGAAGACGAAATTCAGCGACGAGAAGACCAGATCAGGGCAAATTCTACACGCCCCAACCTTGTGACGATGGCTACTCACCGAAAATATCATGCCAGAGCCGCAGAAGAAGCAGGTATGGCTCTGCTTTTTGACCAAGCGTGACATTGAATCTGGGCTACTACAGAAATGGACATGGATGAGTTAGCGGGTCAAGCTGACGATTTGGAGGGTGCACTTACTGACGACTTTGTCCAATTACCGCCTTTGTCAACCAGGGGAACAGACTCTGAACCCGACTTGACCTTGAGTAACGAGGGATTAGAGGGGGAAGAGAGTGGAAGTGATGGTGAGTACAAACCTGCACATGAAGAAGGGGGCACGAAGGACGCAGGGCGAAAGGAGTCCAAGTTCGCGGAGGTGGAAGAAGATGAAGACGAGGGCAAACTCTTTCAAGAGTTCCTCGCTCTGCGTAGGAAAGGGGAGAAGAAGAAGAAGGCTGCTGTAAAGGTGTGTGAGTGTTGCCTTGATCGTTCTAATTATAAATTTACTCACATCAAAGACAGAAACCTGAACGGGGCGCTCTTCGTGCACAAATCAAACAGCTGAGGGACGAGCCCACCCCTGCCCCGCTAAGTGCAAAACGGAAGACTCTGGCCATCGACGTTGATGAAAGGTGAGACTTACCAGGATTATGCACTGGTTTCTACTAATGCGCCACCTAGTCCAAAAAAAGGGAAGCGCTCAAAGCCCGCAGAGATGGGCGGCCTCAAGTCTAACTGGAAGAAACTCGTCAGCGTTGATAAGCGTCCCCCGCTGCCCAACAAACGTGAATCTTCACCCGACGTAACTGAAGATTTGGACAACGAACTCAAGGGTGAGTTTGCGCAGGACGAGACCGACACTAACCTCGCATCTGCTCGCAAATCGAAGACCATGGAGGCTGCTGTGAAGAAAACTCTCTCAATGGGGACTGCTAAGGTATGCTGTCACCTGTCTATCAGACCTCCCTACACTAACAACGCGGTTCGTCAAAGATGGGGATCACCCTGCAAGCCAAGGTGGAGCCCATGGACACTTCACTTCCAGTCAAAAGTGAAAAACAACTAAAATCGACTTATGTGAACGGCGACCTTCCCTTCGAAAACCATCGCCGTGACCTCAAGGACTGGCAGCACAAGTTCATCCCCGGGTTGTGCGACTGGGCAGGGACCATCGATCAACCCTTCACGGCCAATGCTCACCCTGATTTCGCTAACGTTGTCGGAAGACTTTGGGCTAGCTACTTTCCCACTACAGGGGTGGCTACTGATGCTGTCCATTTTATGGTGCACTTTTCTACTCTCGCGACCTTCAACTTCATTGCTGACTTCTTTTGTATACATCTTAATCAGGTGTGGTCCGCACTGAAGAATTGGAGGAGCGATATTGGCAAGCGTGTGCTTGCATACCTCAAGAACCTTTTCACAAATAAGCCGTTCAACAACGATGCAGTCAAAATTCAAGAATACGTGGCCGCTAATCTACTCAAAGTAACCTTTATATACCATGATCAAAAGGTGCGCTCTCGTCTTCAACCACTTCCGATACTGATAAGGTTTAGAATATGACAGGAGCGTATCGCTCTGACATTGTTCTAGACGCGTTCGCTTCCCATCTTCGATATGTCATGCAGATCGCCTCAACCCATGGAGATCAAACGGGTGCGATGTCTGTCTGTGTTGCAGCGGTCTGACTTATTTCTTCTATTTTCCGTGATCCTACTGACATATGCACATTCAGGTGGAACGCGGCTTGACACTGTGGAAGAACGGAAAGGAACCATCAGCCACTGATGCCACCAAGAAGAATTTCGTCGTCAACCCCTGGGCTGAACACGCATTCGGATATCTTCCGAAGATCAAGGAGCTGTCAGCGAAGAAGTGGGAAGCAATTGTTCGACTGGCCGCCCCCTTCATCAAGAGCCCAGACCTCATCGATCTTACAGAGGAGAGCCTCGTCAAGAATGACATGCGGGCGGATATTCAGCTCTCCCCTGATGAAGATTCAGAGGATGATTGATGTGTGAGCTCCTTTTGTATGTATTCTTAATCATTCTTATTGATTCATTAGGCCGTCAAAGTAGCTACTACATCAGTATTACACGTTGTTTCTGTAGTGGCACGCTAATAAATAATTGTGTGCTCTTTTTTGGCTTTTTGTGGGCAGCGTGGTCCGATAATCCAAAACTTAAGATTGTGGCCCCACAATGAAATTATGGTAAGTTTGTGGGGCCACAAACGATCGTGGCGGGTCAGCCGCCACCGCAAGTATAATGTCCCCACTCTTGTTTGTGGGAGTGTGGTTTGCATGAGACGTGTGGTGCCACACGTGCCACACGTGATGCGATTTTCCTGATGTACTACAATGCATAATGAAAAAGACGCGCTTAGCGAATGGTATGGCCCGTATGGTGAGAGTGGGATTCGAACCCACGCCTTGTGAACCAGACGTTGCTGCACAGGCCAGTCTGGCGCCTTGGACCGCTCAACACGCGTCCTTCACAAATTCCTTTCTACTCCCATCCTACACATCCATCAAAACGCAAGTACCACCCACTCATCGATCATCCTTAAACAACGCCCCCCACCCCCTCCCAAATCCTATACCGCCTAACCCCCTCACCAACCCACGGCACCTCCTCCTCCCAATGCGTAATCACCACCACCGCCTGTCCCTCTCCAACACCACCCTCAGTGGTCAAGTACTTCCGTACAGCACAAATCATACCCTCGTCCATCCCACTCCATACCTCGTCGAGAAGCACCAACGGAGGTCGTGATACCAATGCACGCATGAGGAGTACGATCCGCTGTTCCCCAGGGGAGAGGGCCGTAAACCTACGCGTTGCGAATTCTCTTTCCGTCTCCGGAGTTCCTGCCGTAGACCAGGCTCGTGGGCCAAGTGCAGCTAGGACCTCCCAGCACCGACTAATTCGCCACTTTTCCACTTCTCTTCTCCTCTCTTCTTTCTCCACTTCACTCGGTTCGCCAACCTCAAACCCCAGTTCCTCGTCAGCCACACGCACTTCGCCGACCCTCTCACTCCCTTTGAGGGGTACGAACCCCCCTCCGAAACCTGTAACGACGGCTTCCCAGACCGTCATACCGGGATGACGACGTGGAAATGCATCGAATAGTTCTGGGGACACGACGCCGATGAGCGTGCGTAGGTGTGCGGTGGGTGTGCGTTTTCGTGGGTTGAGGTGGTGGGTTCGGTAGGGGTGAGTTGTGGAAGGAGACGATGATGAGGCGGGGGATAGGGAGGGTAGGTGGAGGTGTGCTTGCGTATACGATTGCGGGTGGTCGCCCGTTAACAGGGAAAGAAGTGTCGTTTTTCCTGAGCCTGTAATGGATGGGATTAGTTAGGTGGACGTGAAGATAGAAAGGAATGTGAATGTATGCGCGAAAAGGCGCGTATGCTGGGGTAATGGATGAGTATGAGGGAGGTTCAAGTAGAAATTGAAAAGAAGAAAGGGAGAGAAAACTTGAAAAGAGCGTGGTGAAATTCTTGGGGAAATGATGAACCAGCAAGCAGAACGACGCCAGCGAACCACGATCCCAAAAGCAAGAAGGCCCCACAGGAAACACCCACCATTCGACCCTTGTAAATGCCACCTTTCGCCTTCACGAATCTGCCACGTAATATCTTTAAGAACCTATGAGTCATCGCATCATCAGTACGTGGATCAACTCGCGGAAAGGAAGAAGTCCTTCAAGAACGGCGAGGAAAGAAACGAATACGAAAGAAAGGAAACACAACGCGTGAAAAGGAACGATAGCACGCAAAAGAAAGGCAATAGCGCGAGAAGATGAAAAACTTCACGGGAAAGATAAAGGAAAAGAAAGAAAATGCGCAAAAGAAAACTTGCTCACAGTCCTATTCCCATACTTCACCCCAACACCCTTTAAATCAACCACCAACTCCCCCTCTTCCACTCTCTCCTTCGATTCGTCCCTGCCCTCCTTCCCCTTCTCCTCCGCCCTCTGGAGACCACGCCACCTCTCCCTCGTCATTGGGATAACGCCCCCCTCCCCAACATCCAACACGTGCGTAACCCACCCCGGCAACTCCTCCTGTGCGCGCATCCCGATGATGATACGTGGAGAGCGGGAGGCGTGGAGGTCTTGTAGGAGGGCGAGGAGGTGTGTGCGGGAGGTTGGGTCTAGGCCGGCTGAACAAAGGAAGGGGGGTTAGTATGGTTTAAAGTGTAGAAGGTGAACAAAGACATGCAAGGACTCACTCAACGGTTCATCCAACAAAAGCACCTCGGGGGCTTTCATAACAGCCCTAACAATCCTCGCTCTCCTCGTCTGTCCATTACTCAGCGCGATGAGCGGTAAATTCAATAGATCCTTTAACCCGAGTTTATCTACCAATTCTTCGACCTTTCCTCCCTCCCCATCCAGACTATCCCGTAACGTCCGCCCATCTTCCTCCCTAACAGCCCCATAACGCGCTGTATAATCATAGAAACCACCTCCTGCCCCCCTCGCACCCGTCTTTCGGAACGCGACGAACCCAATGCGCCGTCCGTCGAATGGGTCGAGTCCGTTCAGGAAGGGGTATAGGCCGGGAGAGGGGGGTGGTGGTGATATCCGGGTGTTTCCTAGCAGTGTCTTTTAATTCGCTTAGTTGGTTATTTACATAGCTTGTGGACAGGAGAGAGGAATACCTGGAATAATATGCTTTTCCCTCTTCCACCCCTCGAACGCGACACGACGGCCCATGCTTCTCCTTCGTCTACGGTCCAATCTATGGAATTGAGGGCGGGAGGTGTGGATTGGGAGGCACCGAAGGGGTATATGTTCGCTTTTGGTATGTGGATTATTGGTGGGTTTGACGAAGAGGACGAGGAGGAAGAGTAGGATCGGAAGCGGAGTTGAAAGGGCAAGGTGCGGAGGAAGACGAGGCGAGGTGGCATTGACCTGGAATGCGATTTACATATCGCTAGTAGATCGCCAGTGCCCGTCGTCGCACGAGTCGGAGTCAGGTTCGGGCATCCAAGCTATCTAAGTCCGATTACGCCAATGCAAACCGGTTGTTCCTCACCCGGAATAATACCCTCAGAGAAACGTGGTACGCGACTAAAACCTCCGATCTGGCGTGATATCGTTATGCCTCCAGGGCGCTGTCATTTCTCACAGCCTCCGGACTGTGCGGTCGACAACCTTTCCTCTGTACACCCACCCAGTCATGGCACCTAAACCGACGGGGGATCGTAAACGTGATAAGTTGACGAGATTCTTTCATTTGCCAGTGCGACCTAGGACCCCCCAACCCGCCGAGTCTTCCATCGGCATAACAGTGACACAGCCTCCGACCACCGCCCTACCACTACCACAGTTGGCAGGCAACATAGAACCCCCGGTGCTGAATCCTCACGATACAGAACCGACATCTACGAAGCTGGAGAAAGTAAAGTTCGCGAAGGGCAAATCTTTTAAGAGAGATATGGCCATTCTCTCTATCGCGTACACCCTTCAAGAAAGTCCCGAACTCAAGAGGCTCATCCAGCTTATCGTTGTCATCCGCGATAAGGACTCGGAAGGCCAAGTAATGTCTGCAATGTATCATGCATATCGATCTCTGACATTCTTATCCTCCAGCTTACCGAAATTCTCGAAACCTGTGCTCGGTTCATTGTTCAACTCGCATCTGCTACTGATGCCCAGCGTGCAGAAGCCACACGGGCGATAACGGCCTTCAACGAGTAAGAATTCAGCATTGATCTTCTATAGACCTGATCGTCCTGAACGTACTCATCCGTCGTTTAGGACAGTTGCAAAGCTGAAGACTATCCAACTCAATGGCAACGGAAAATCCTTGGATGCCAGTGGATTGATGGTCATGATAAAAGAAGATATTAATAGGATCAAGGTCAGTTTCGACATTCCCTTTTGTCCCACCCGATCTCACATCATTCACACATCGTTCAGCCTTCATTCGTGAGCGATGGCGAACTTGGAACTTCGGAGAGACTATCCAAAGTGCTAGATATAACTATCGGGACGACCATAAGCATCCTCACCCTTGTAGAAGAAGCCAGCTCTTTGATACCAGTACCATGGGTCCAACCATTAATTAGAAAAGTCATTAGTATGTTGCAGGCCGTCTCGGTACGTCCTTGAAATTCCTTTCAATTGCCGTAATTCTCATTGTCATCAGCAAACTCGCTCGAATTACGACGAAATGAATCAAGTAGCAGCTACAGCTGGAATATTTGTTGTCTCTTGCGCTGTTATTTGTTCTGAGACTACGGTGGGGCCATCAGAGAAACTCAAACGAGCCTTGAACGAATTTACAAAGTGGGTAACAGCAGTCGTATCCGCAAATTATATCGTATTGACCCGAAATTTACATAGGACCCTCGGAAACATAGCTGGAGAATGTGACGAACTTAGTCGTCGCAATTTGCTTTCACGGTACTTGCAACAAAGCGCTCACATGGGTGACCTTCAAGCTATCAGAATAAGACTGAACGATGCAATCCAATTGTTTCAGGTTCGTTACATCCTCGTATGCGAAAGTCTTTTACGAACTTGCAATTAGACCGAAAATTCGGTCAATATAAAGCTGGACACCGAGGAACTTAACCGGAAAATTGGTGAGCCCGAGATTCCTGACTGAGTGGTGAACTGAACTGACATAATCCAGATTTCGCGTCACTGAGCGGCCTGCCAAGCCATCCAAGCTATACACGCAACGATTATCTTGAGAAGAGTCGAGATGACGTTATACGTGATGTTTCCGACTGGATAGCTAACGCCCCAGAGTCTGTCCTGTGGGTACATGGTGCTGCTGGCCTAGGTAAATCGACTGTCGCTCAGGAACTGGTCCACCTTCTCAAATCGGAGGAGCGCCTTGCTGGGGGCGTATTTCTCACCAATCTCACTACAGAGCCCCCCGAGAGGGTCATTCAGATGATCTCCAGGCAGCTCGGCGCGATGTATCCGCGAGCCATCATTAACATTGCTGACGCTGCAAGGACACTCAATGGCCCGCACGACAGGCTCAAGGATTATTTCACAGCATATATTCTCGACCCAATCCGTGCACTAAAGTATCCTTATCAGCTTGTCGTTGTTGTCGATGGTCTGGATGAATGGCGCAATTATGAGTCATTCCTGGCAGAACTTGTGCACATCCCATCACCCTCTCCTTTAAAATTTGTCCTGACAAGTCGCTTCAATTACTCCATTGAACGGGCGGTCGATAAAATGCCAACTCGCAAATACCCTCTTCCACCGGCCTCACAGACAGTTATTGCGCATTACTTCCATCAGCACTTCTTGTCAGGCGATGTTGATTGGAAAGGGCGCAAGCCCGATGATGTCAAAATCCATCGATTGGCAGCTCGTGCAGATGGTCTTCTTATTTGGGCAGCAACCGCACGATTATTGGTAACAAATAAATTTGACACTAGATATCCGCACGAAATACTCGACCAACTCCTGTCATCTGAAGAGAAGGTGGTCAATCGGAAAGATGGTCCAGAAGATGGGCAGCTTGAGCGCCTATATCGCGGTGCTATTTCAACCCTTTTCCCACCACGCATTCGAGGGATACTCAGAGACTTCCTTGCGGCAACTGTAGTTCTTCAGGAAGCCCTACCAATTGGTGATTTTGCACATCTCTTAGGCATATCTGGGCCTGCCACAGAGGAGATTCACCAGCGGCTGGCAGCCTTGCAGACGCAGGGCGATCCCAAAACTAATCTCATATCACCAGCCTCACAACGATTCCATGCGTCATTTATTGAATTCATCACCACAGAGACTGTTGACCAGACATTTCAAGCCATTAGCGCTATAGAAGCAAACTCTATGCTGGCGAAGAGATGCATTGAGATTGTCTTTGGCAAATTACTCCCATCTTCTCGGGGAAAGACTTGCACTTACACAGAGCTTCGTGGTGTAGAACCATATGTTGTCAAATTTTGGCCTCTTCACTTTTCAAGTGGAACCCCACATCAACAATTGGCAGCACCAAGTGGTACAGTGGGTATGGATCTGATATCGGAGGAAGCGATGCATCGTTGGGCTACACTGTTTCTACCTTGTATCGCAGCCAGATTCCAGGGTGGCCATGATTCTCTTGAAGGCATCCAAAAGTCTGTGCTACCTTATAAGGTAGCTGTTATGATAGGGAATCAAGATGTCACCACACTGTCATATCACATTCAGTGTCTCAAGATTGCCACACAAACCCAGCCACATGATAAGGGGACATGGAAGGCATTAGGGTTTGCCTATCGCAGATTGCATGAACAAAGCCAATCTAACAGAGACTTGGACGAGGAAATTACTGCATTTCGTCATGGTCTGGAACCAGCACCTCATCCGGATCACTCCCAGTCACTCAATTACCTTGCCTATTCCCTTAAAAGTCGTTTTGATCGGCAGGGCGCTTCAAACGACCTTGACGAAGCAATTTCCTTGCACCAAGAGGCACTTCTTCTTCGGCCAGCACCTCATCCAGAACGCTCCTCATCACTCAATAACCTTGCTAATGCCCTTCAAAGTCGTTTTGAACAGCAGGGTGCTTCAAATGACCTTGACAAAGCAATTTCCTTGCACCAAGAGGCACTTCTTCTTCAGCCAGCACCTCATCCAGATCGCTCCTCATCACTCAATAACCTCGCCGCTGCCCTTCAAGGTCATTTTGAACAGCGGGGCGCTTCAAATGACCTTGACGAAGCAATTTCCTTGCACCGAGAGGCACTTCTTCTTCAGCCAGCACCTCATCCATGTCGCTCCCATTCACTCAATAACCTTGCCAATGCCCTTCAAAGTCGTTTTGAACAGCGGGGTGCTTCAAATGACCTTGATGAAGCAATTTCCTTGCACCGAGAGGCCCTTCTTCTTCGGCCAGCACCTCATCCAGATCGCTCCTCATCACTCAATAACCTCGCTGATGCCCTTCAAAGTCGTTTTGAACAGCGGGGTGCTTCAAATGACCTTGATGAAGCAATTTCCTTGCACCGAGAGGCACTTCTTCTTCGGCCAGCACCTCATCCAGATCGCTCCTCATCACTCAATAACCTCGCCGTTGCCCTTCAGAGTCATTTTGAACAGCAGGGTGCTTCAAATGACCTTGATGAAGCAATTTCCTTGTACCGAGACGCCCTTCTTCTTCGGCCAGCACCTCATCCACGTTGCTCCCGGTCACTCAATAACCTCGCCATTGCCCTTGAAACTCGTTTTAAATGGCAGGGCACTTCAAATGATCTCGACGAGGCAAATTCCTTGCGCAGAGAGGCACTTCTTCTTTGACCAGCACATCATTCACTATAAGTATTCTAATGTACTCTTGAAACACCTTGCTATTCCCCTCTGGATTCGGTTCAACCTCTTACTTACATGAATACATCACTGAAGAGATTACATTGTACGAACAACTTCTTGATTGCCTGGTTCAAGATCCCTACTTTTGCTCTTGGTCTTTAAAGCACTCGCCCGCAGCATTAATTAATGTAGCTCGATAATGAGCCTGGTAACTAAATTGAACCAATGTTATACTCCCCTTCAAAAGAGACTTGTTGAAATGGCATGGCATGGGTGGATGCCTGGTAATTTAGCCCAGGTCACAAAGAAAGAGATTGAGAAAGCTCGGCTTTGGATCTTGAATGTTCAGCATGTCCGAAATCATTCATGGAATCCATTGGAAGAGGGCGGTGACCTTTCCTAACAACTGAATTTTCCCAGTCTAGTAGATCTCAAAATCTCCGTGAGTCTTGGCTGGAAAGTAAACTTGAAGGGCAAATCATGAAGGCGTAGAGGACTGTTTCGAAAATTGACGTACGTGTTTGCTTCGGAGATTAATGTGCTTGTGCGTCCCAATGCAGTCCGAGCTCCCTTCTTCGTTACTACTCGTTACGACGCTCGATGACTGGCAGGCTTTCCAATCGCAACTAGGACTCGAAGCATTGGGAATAAAACAATCGTGATCAGTTGAATGTTACGTTTAGTGTTGACCTCAACCGTCTCATCCGCACAAGATTTCTGGTAGCGCTTCAGGTTAGGCATGAACTGAATTTGAATCCATGCCGAACTTTACATTCGAGACATTGAGCAAGTCGAGTGGTGGCTAGTAGGGATTCGATTCAGATTGCGTGAGGTAAGTATTTCAGTCTGATGACTGCTCCCGTGGCCATCGAACGTAGTGCGCTCCATGCGTAGTTCAAGATGCTTGATAAAATGAGCGCCGTCGTTTTTACTGGAAGTGCACGTATTCGTTACATTTGGTTCCTGCAATCATAGTGAAAAAATTGACGAACCAACTTGGAACCAACTCAAGTTGGAGGACAAAAGGCTGTAAACCGTTCGGAGTGTTTTTGGTCGGGACTAAGGATCGCGGACGGTAGGTGCTTGCACTTCTTCTGGTTCTAAAACACCGGATGCTGGTTGTGTATGGGATTGGTAGTTGAGAAAAATATCACAGATGCATCATGAGTGATCGGAGTTGGCGTCTTCGCGAACTCTCTCCCACTCTCCCACCAAAATCAAGGATACCCATACCACCACCCTGCCGCGTCTTCCTCTGCGTCTTCCCCTCCAAATTATCGTCGTCACCCGCTTACCCAACTAGTCCTACACACGAAGCACCAATAATAACATTCCGTGAAGGAGAAGCGTGGGCTTTCATCTCGAGTTTGAGGCAAGTTTGAGGGGTGGAACCGGGAAGAACGTTTTGTTGCAGGTATTCCTTTCCATTTCCTTCCTGTCTTGAACTCAAACTAATCAACGAACCAACCGACACTCCTAGGAAACAACCGCATGTCGCCTCCACCTCCCTCTCCAGGCCTATACCCCTTCTTGGGTGGACTCGACACATTTGGCGGGCGTCGACTCGGTTTCATTGCGTTCGAACGAGAGGGACCGGAGGGGGTTTCTATGATTATACAGCTGCGTTATGGGGCTGTTAGGGATGAAGATGGATGCACTTTATGGGATAGTCTGAGTTTTCTGGATAGGGAAGAGCTCGAAGTGCGAGTTGGGCGGATAAGCTAGGATTGATGGAGTTATTGGACATCCCGCTTATTGCGCTGAGTAATGGACAGACTAGGAGAGCCAGGAGCGCGAGGGCTGTCATGAAAGCCCCTGGATTGCTCTTGCTGAATGAGCCGTTGAGTGAGTGCTCGTCTTTCTCGTCCATTTCTCGCAACTTTCCCAATCCCCCAACCTTCTTTCGTTCTCTCCTCGAGATTGCCGCGTTTTCACCCTTGCAAATCCTCGCTTCCCGCACCCCGCCTCCTCCCTTACTTCGCTCCCTTCGTCCCTCCTTCACTCTATCTCTTGCCTCCTTCCCTTCTTTTCTACAAATACTGAACCTCTCCCCTTATCTAGCTGGCCTACACCCAATCTCCCGCTCCTACCTCCTTGCCCTCCTAGCAGACCTTCACGCATCTCGGTCCCTGCATATAATGCTCGGGACGCGCGTGCAGGAAGAGCTTCCGGCCTGAAACACGCATGTATGGGATGTTAGTGAGGGGGACGTTACGCAGAGGAGAAGGGGAGGGCAAAAGTGAATTGGGACAACGAAGACGTCGCGGACGCTCTGGACTTTGCAGACTTCTAGGACGGAGGAGGAACAGGTTGTGAACGGCGCTGCTCCGCGGGATAAGAGGAGGCTGATAGTTGACTTGAAAGGATAGGACTGTGAGTACTTCTTTTATCACGCGCTTTCTCTTCTTTCCGTGTTTTTTCGTCGTTCTTCTACCATGCTTTTCCATACTTTTCCCTTGAGTTTTCTTCCTCATTTTCTTGAGGTTTTCTTTCACTTCCATGCGTTTTCGTTTGTTTACTTCTTTCCTCCGTTTTCGTCTCTTCCTGTGCGATCTTTTTTCACTTCTTTGAGTTTTCTTTTCCATGCTTTTCCCTTCAGTTTTCTTCCTCATCTTCTCGAGGTTTCCTTTCTCTTCCGTGCGTTTTCGTTCCTTTCCCCGAGTTTACTTCCTTTTCTCCGTTTTCATCTCTTCCTGTGCGATCTTTTTTCACTTCTTCGAGTTTTCTTTTCTTTCCGCCCCTCCCTCCAGCAGTTGAAATAAGTGCTGACATGGCGGCGACAGGTCCTGGCAGATCTGCGAAGGCGAGAGGTGGCACTTACAAGGGCCTAACGGTGAGTACTACGACGTTTTTTCCTAGCTGGGGTCTCCGTCTCTTTCCCGGATCTCCTTTCTTTTCGTTTGACCTTTCCATTCGAGAAGTCTGGCCAAGTGTTTATGTCTCTTCTCCACTTTCCGTATCCTTCCCTCTACCTTGTCTTGGGGATTTTGACCCTCGCGTCTCGCAGGAATTGAGGTTCACTCTGAGCTTCGCGGTTTTTTACTTTGGCCCTTTCCTTCGATTCACAGGGCTGACTTTGCCGCTTTCATTTCATATGGATTGTACCCAGCCAGCTTGGGGATTCACTTGACCCGTTATTTATTGGCTCATCGAAAACCACATGTTGACTCGCTTTGATTCGAATCGGCCTTATATTCTGCTGCATGCCGCTTTTACCTTCATCTCTCACTACATACGCTAACTAATCTCTTTGTCATTCACAGGCTCAGGAAAGATGACCTTCCTCTCTCTCTTGACAGGCGACCACCCACAGTCATACGTGCAAGCGCACCTCCACCTTCCTTCCTTATCTCCTGCCACGTCATCGTCTTTCTCCTCCTCGATGACACACCGGTGCCGAAGCCACCGCCTCAACCCGCGAAAGCGTACACCAACAACTCACCTACGCACGCTATAGCTAATTAGCGTTGTCCCAGTAGGCTTATTCGATGCCTTCCCGCGTCGTCATCCGGGCATGATGGTCTGGGAAACTATCATTACGGGTTTTCGAGGGGGGTTCGTACTGCCTAAGGAGGAGCGAGAGATATGTGTGGGCGATCCCGAACTTGGGTTTGAGGTTGGGATGGGAAACGAACCATTCAAGGCAGAGAAGGAGAGGAGGAGGGAAAATGAAGAGTGGCGAATCTCTCGGTGCTGGGAAGTCCTCTCCGCCCTTGGGGGAGGAACAGACTGTGCTGGTGGGTTCTCTGAATGGGTGAGGAGGTTGGGCAGTTTAGGACTTGGGAGGGTGGTGGTGGTGGTGATGTTGGATGAGTGAGCAGTGTTGCTTGGACTTTGGGCGGTTAAGACAGGATTGGCAATGTGAGTAGCATTTCTCGTTGTTTGATTCCAAACCTCAAATAACTCCCTCACTAGGTTAATCATCCGCTGACACCCTTCGTGAACTTTCACTCGGCTACCCGCTCGAAATCATTTTTGGTAGACGGAGCAAATCCCGATAGCTGACAGTAGCCCCTACAAATTGATGACGCCTGCCTCAAACACCCTTTTCATGGCAGTGATGTGGCTGGTGTCTTTGACGATGCCCAGCTCGACGACGCCAATGCGCACTTGAGAAGCTCCTCAGACCATGCTAGGTCGCTGCCGTCCACCTTGTCCACATCCTCCAAGACGAAGCGAGCCGGAAAGCTGGATGATTCCGGTAAGTTATCACTCTTGTGCTACACATTTCTCTGTGTTTGTCTAGACCTCACTCCCTTCTTCCTTCTATGGTTTCCGAATTTCCTTGTCGCCTTGCATCCATTCGATTTTTCCCTGACTGACCTCCTTCGTTTCTTAGGTTCTGTATCCACAACACCAGTGCAATCGCCAGCCGGTGATCGCACCGTCTTTCCCCGCCACCATGACCCGCACAACTTCCTTCGTGCACCTGCTAGCGAAGGAGATACCACCAGTACAGCTCGTGGAAACATCACCTCTTCGCCAGTGGCGGCAGGCAAACCTCATACAGCAATCGTCTAATCGGCAGCGCCCAGCTGTGTGGTTGTTTGGTCGTTCTCTCCCACCGAAACTCACTCAAAGATCTTTGCGATGAAGCCCGTGAATTAACTCTTTGCGCATCCTTTGAATCTCAACACCTCGCCACTTTCTCTATATCGAATGCATGGTGACGAAAGCGGCTATTGGGGGTCGTTTCCATCTCTGGCGGCAGCGGGAAGTCGGGTAGGCGATGTCCCAGTGGTTGAGCGACCCAGAGGGGTAACATTGGGCGACTTGTGATGAAACCCCACTTGACGTGGGAGGTTCGGCTGCGGGTTTAAACCATGGGTACTTCGAGGTTGAAAGGGCACTCGTACCCCATCGACACTGGCTGCGGAATAAAGTCAACAGCAATGATTCTTCGGGTTGAAGGGCTCATCTGGGAATCAGTGATTACCCAGACATCCACAATCGATGATGGGTCGTCAACAGATGCCAAAGTTTGGGAGAGCGGAGTTGTCTTCACGCACAGCCACAAAACAAGCGACCCTACCTCTCTCTCTACCTCTGTAATCTTCCTCATAACGAACCACTGCCAAAATCCAGCCACTCGCGTACATAACCAGCAATAAGTCAACGACCCGTTCTCGAATCTCGACCATGGAACCGTGAACAAAGTACTTAGTAGTATTCCGGCAGAACCCGGGCCTTTCCTTCATTGTCCTTGAACTCACTCTGCTCGTCTTCCAACAAGTAGGACACGCCCTTTGTAGAAGTGGAACGCGACTGTGGAAAACGTAGATACATATCGTCGGTTTGCGAGAACACGGGTGTCAAGAAACGACGCGTAATATCCTGATGTTATGTGGAAAGCTGCCAACTTCCGCCTTGAACAGACTTCCACAGGACGAGGAGAAGAGGGCCGATGTGCCACTGCACGAGTCTGCTCCAGCAACTCCAAAAAGACTGAATCGGGTGCGAAGATTCAAAAGTGACTGAAGCCATTGATAAATTGGCTTCCGTTGCGAGTTCAGCCAATCGACTCCCCTCCAACTCCGCAACCTTCTAACGCATGGACCTCCTATCAGTCACCGATGCGCACTAAGTATAAGAAACCTTGGGGTTCGACTCAATGATCTTTAAACAATCATGTTCGGCACCATCCTCATCCCCCTCGTCGTCGGTCTCCTTCCTTTGTCGACCCAGACGTGTACAAGCTCACGTTACAAGAGCTTCCTCTGGACCCAACTTTGGAGAGTACGTATCTCGCGGCGAAATATGGGGCGTTCAACCCGCTTGCGGTGGCTGATGGTCACAATGTACCTCTCACCAGTTCGTAGCGATCCACTACTAGTGCGACCAATCTGACTTTATTTTGTTAGACTACATGAACGCTCAGTATTTTACTGAAATTTCAATTGAGACCCCGCCTCAGACCGTACGTGACTCATGCAACCTCCGTACCTCTGAAATCACATAGCACGGCCAAATTATAGTTTAAAGTGGTTCTAGACACAGGGTACGCAATGAATAAATCCAAAGTTACTTCTTATTCATTCCATGTAGATCGAGTAATCTATGGATTCCGAGTGTACAATGTGCATCGATCTCCTGCTATGGGCACAAACAGTACAACTCCCAGGCGTCGTCGACGTTTATATCAAATGGGTCTCGAGAAGTCTCTATCCCATTTGGTTCAACCACTCCCCGGGGCGTTGTATCAAACGACGTGTTCAACATTGGCGATTTGCGTATCAGAGGTCAAAATTTTGTAGAAGTGGTGCGGGACCTTCCGGCTTCATAAAAAGCCGTTATTCTCAATTACAATAATCAAGGTTCGACGGGATATTGGGCCTTGTGCACTCGATGATACCATCTCCGTCCCATCTCCTTTCTCCAACATGATCACGGAAAAACTCATCGCCTCACCCGTATTTTCCTTTCACATCAGCACTGACACCTTCGATAACTACGCCACTTTCGGAGGAATCGATCCCTCCGCTTACGTAGGTGACCTTTTGTACGTTCCGGTTACGCGCAAGGGCCGTTGGGAAGTTGACCTCCTGAAAATTTCTTTTGATAATGAAGAGTTGGATCTGGAAAGTGGAATCACTGCTACCATTGATACTGGTGCGTCGTGGCTTCTCCTTAAAAAAACACCTCGGCCTCTAACCTTAGAGTAACTACCCAGGAGCATCCTTCATAATTCTGCCCACCACCTTTGCAGACTTTCTGAATAGCCAAATAGGTGCGAAGAGGGGGACGACTGGTCATTATCAGGTTGCTTGCGCAAAAGTTGATAGCCTTCCCGAGTTTTCGTTTTACTTTGGTGGTAAAGCGTACCCCCTCAAAGGAACCGACTACATTCTCGAAATTCAAGATGCCTGCATTTCACCCTTCGTAGGTTTGGATAATAATTTTTCTGGATCCGGTTCCCAGTGGTTTGTTGGTGAGAATATTACCAATGCCGTCGTCCATCGTTCTCTGAACCACAAAATTTAAACTAGGGGCTGTCTTTCTCCGGAAGTACTACACCGTTTTTGACGCTGGAAGGGCGGCTATCGGTTTTGCTACATCTGTTTGAGTACCCTCGTCGTCTCGTAGATTTACGATTACCACATAGCTTTGAATGCTGCGGTGTCTAATCTGAAGTGATTCACGTGCAGCTCGACTCGGAGTGGGCGCTTACAAAGTTACATACAACAAACCACCATGACCGCAAGAGAAGACACACAGAAACCGTTCGCCGCATCCCCTTTCAATGATTCAAAAGCAGATTTGATACTGCGGTCTTCTGATGGGGTATATTTTTGCGTCTACAAGCTCCTCCTCTCCCTCGTATCTCCCGTCTTTGCCACCATGTTCGAGTTACCGACCGATGGGATGCAGGAAATGTATGACAATCGCATCTGCATTGGAGTTGATGACAATAATGAAACGTTGTCGCGGGTACTTCCGTGGTGCGACCCGAGGTGTATTTCGGCCATCCAATCTCCCAAGGATGTCGAGATCATTTTGCGAGTCTCGGACAAGTACGACATGGAGCCTATCAAGAAACGCTGCGTGCGTGCTTTGGAATGTTCGCCTGGCATATTCACGCCAGAAAATTCCTTTGAGATCTACGCTCTTGCGATTCAGTACCAAATTTCACACTTGGCCTGCTTAGCAGCGAAGATGACATTGCACCTCGAGTTGGAAAAGCGCCCCTATTTTCCCGCACTGAAGTCCATACCTGCCTCTGCGCTCTACCACTTGGACTTCTATCACATTACTTGCGGCAAGGTGGCTCAGAAAGTCATCGAGGACGAATTTTCGGTTCCAAACAATTTATTTGGTCAGGGGTCGGGGACAGTTGGATGTTGTGGAGTCGAAGGTGTGGCAAGGGGAAACTTGGGTTGGAAGTTCTGGGCTGTTCAGCACATGGATCGCATCTCAGAGAAGTTGCGCAAGACACCCGTTTCCACCGTTGTAGTCGACCCCAAGCTCCTCGTTGAGACGCAAGGAAGGACCAGTAGTTGTTCAGCGTGTAGGGGGAATACCAGTCACGCCGATCTACAAAGATTCAATCAATCACTGATGGATAAAGTGGAACAGGCGATATCGAAGGTGAGCTTTGCCGTTTGACATCGCATCATAAAACCCTTAATTCCCAATACTGTTGCAAAGGTGTTACTAGTCGTAGAATTTTAAATCTCAACTTTGGATACTAATTTCAAGAAGCAGCGCTGTCGTGACGAAATGCCTAATACTATCATTGTTTCTAGAGAAAAGGATCTTATGTGGTTCGTGCCAGAATTGTGCTGATCCACCATGGCTTCCCTGCACTACGCTCACACAGGACGAATGCCGATCTGGCGTCTACTAAATGTAACGCCAATATGTATCATTCGCTTAAGCTTGCCCCTTCAGATTTTCTTACAACAAAGAGGGGAAAACTGGACTAATGATGAGTCGTACTCCACGGATTCGGTAATAGCCCAAGCAATTTCTCAATAAATCACTGCTGTGGATCGTATACGACCCTGGCTGGACTTCTAAGTACTACTTCAGAACGGAGAATTGCCATTGTTGGAGTGGAATAGGTGCTTACCGCTTCTCGATTCCCTAGAAAGTATCACAAGAATAAGCATGATGCGACAGTATGCTTAGACGGATTTACATTTTCCATCCACGCAATCTGTGCGCTTAGTTCGGTCGTTCCGAAAAACAAGACAATGCTGTAGTCCATAGTATAATAAATTTTACCACGTTTACGCGACCGTCGAGGTGGTAGCAAGTGGCAAACTGAGGACATGTCTGCTTCAATGGTGCAGAGCTTCAAGTACATTTCTTATAATCATTCCAATGAGCTTTCAAATGACCTGCACAAGGCCAATACACGGGGATCACACACCTGGATCTTCATCCAACCACTCGGTCAGATTCCCGGCATCCGCGCGAGCACAGTACAAGCCGAAAGTGACTGATGAAAGTTTTGATGGGGAACTCGCAGAGGTGGAATAATGCCTTCGGAATTCATCTCCCTGGGAGACCCGAGTATTCTATGTGACGAGAAGATGATTCGTTTATTACGGGAATTTTATCAATTTCAAGAGATACCTTTTGCAAAATCTCTGAAAAGGCGCCAGGAAGACGCCTTTTCCCATCAAGGTGAGTGAATATGGTGGATGACCTCGCCAAGTGTTCAGAAATTCCAGGGTCATAGAGTACGTTGACCTTCGTCCCATATGTGAATTTTGACATACGCGCCTCTACAAAGTGATCAAGGAAGTAAGAAATCGCACCGTCAGCAACAGCCTTGCTATTGCTGTGCCCTTTCTTCAGCATGAGTGTCACAGAAAAAGACTGTCCTACGTACACGTGGCTGTCCGGCCGGCAAAAATTTATCCCTAGAAGCTCCAATGTTTCTTTGACCCTCGAGAAGAGCCAGTCGCTGGCTGCGAACCCCCCAACAAGAAAAACGGTCTGTACAATGGGCGTAAAATGCAATGGATGGAATAGTATCATTACAACAGGCACGTACTGAAATATTCGTTTCCGATGCTGCGCGCTGTTGTGCGACAGCCTTAATGATGCACGCAACGGACGGTTCAAAAAAAGAGGCGACGTCCGAGCTATGTAGTGGAAACACCAATGTTTTTAGATGATATTTGGGGTCAACAAATACCACGCACCCCATGAGCTTCAACTGACCCGAGCGAATATTCAACTTGGAATCGAATTCACGCACCGAGGCGAATGGTACAAATTGTGGAGAATTTATATCCCTAAAGCCGAGCTTTGTCTTGTTATCAAATCGCTGAGTGATTAGATCGACGTCCTTGAAGAAACGAGAACCACGGAGCAAGTCTATCTGAGCGATGAGAAGGCCAATCAAAGTCCCAGAGAAATTATGACCTTCTAGGAATTCGCGAGCTCGATTGGTAACGAACGTAGAGCCCTGAAAATGACCTGACAATTGATGGTTAGTTTCGAACCATAGTACGACTCGGAGTGGTCAAGGTACACTCAGGAGTGGCCATTTCCTCGAAGGACTGGTGAGATATCTGGCAGTATCCACTAATGTCGATGGTGCCTCCACCCGCGTCGACGATGAGCACACCATCTCCGTCCTAAGGAGAAAAATAAGATGAATCAATGGTCAAGTTATGATCAACATTCACGCTTTACCTTTATCATCTCCGACATCAAACCACGTTGAATACAATAATGGAGACTAGCCTCGCCTTCAGTGACGAACGATACACGGGATCGGCCCTCTTCAGTATCGGGAACAAGCCCTGCAATCACCGCTGCTCTGCGCATTTCACTCTGTTGCGCACCTTCCCAGCCATTAGGATGCGTCAAAACGTAAGTGATCTGCTGTTCAAGAGACTCCCACAAACTCGACCCAATTGCGTGTGTCTCCTGGATGTAGCTCCTCGTGCATTGGTTAAGGTATCGAAGAAAATCGGCGAAGACCTCCAACACTGTTTTGTTGGGCGGAAGTGGCGGGATACCTCGCACTGTCGGCGCAGTGGTCGGAATTTTCGGGCGAAGATGAAGTTTGAACCCATAGCATAAAGGTGAGCTTTACAGTGAGTGATGTGCCGAACAAAACTTACCATTCGGCTTTTGTCCATCCTTTATTTTCGGCTACACCATCGATTCCTTCTTCAACAGCCTCGGCGCCTATGGCGCAGACAGATCCATTGTCGTCGTAATAAATAATCGTAGGAATTTTGGAATGACTGTCAACCTCCTCCTGTGCGGGAAATCTAAAGTGTGTCAGAAATGACTCTGACCTTCAGCTGGTGACTCGCCTAGTTACAGATTTGATTTCTGGCATTTGACCAGGATCAAGGACGCTAAAAAATTCAAAGGGTGTGGCGGGTTCAAACACAAATCGAGGGTCATAGTACCTGTAGGAAATACCACTGAATGTGGTACCAATGTCAAACGCGACTACGAGCTTGCGAATCGATCCATTGAATTCTGAGCGGGAGCACATCAGGGAATTGTTCAATGGATGGAGTGCAGTTGCCGCTACTTGTATTTATTGAACCAAGCACGCGGCAGCGGCGTTGAAAGGCTTCTTCCATTAATTACATCATGGGCGCTTGCGGTCCTGAGTGGTAGAAGAATTTCTTGAAACGGACGAGAGTTTGCTTCTTCTTTTCTTCCGCGTTGACCTGTGTTGACTTTGATTCCCGTCCCGGCAACGTTTGGGTGTTCATACCAGTACAAACACGAATTTGATTGGGAGACACCGAGGGTACAAGCAATCGTGCTGGAGTACATACAAAGTCGAGCGGAAAGATATGTCGAAGCCGACTAGCCAGCCCCGCCTCCAAGCTCCGATTCCGTTGCACGGCACAAGGGTACTGGATCGTAGACAATTTTGGCCGCACTCCTAGTCATTTTTTTTCAGTCGGTCGATGAAGAAATAGAGAGGGGTCTCACCTTTTTTCCACTCCCTAAATTCGTTTGAAGAGATAAATTAGAATGATTCAGAGTGAACAAGCATACTTACATTTTCTTCCCAACACACTTGAGCCTTCAACTCTGTGAGACCGAAGGACAATATAATGTCGAATTCCATCTTGTAGTATTGAGATCGCGGAAGCCCGATAACTTCCTCAAGGCGGGTCCATTGTGGCTTAAGTGATGCGCTCAAAAGTGATGTATCTGCTTGAACTGCACAGAGTGTCGAGTACATCTCTAGTTGGCAGAGGGGGAGGTGAATCTAATAGCGGTTTGGGACGGTGAACAACAAGCGCACCTGGGTCAACGTCCATCCAGCGAGGATTCTCACGCTGGCCTCGGAAGCACAAGATTTCCACGGATACGCTTTTCAGGGTGTGCTTGTCGAAGGCCATGCGTAAGTAGCTCTCACGAAATTCCTTCGTTTCCGAAACTTTAACATTCTGAAGCCGAAAACGATAGGGCAACAGAAAAGATTGAATTGCAGCCCACACACCTTGGGAAGGATGCAACTGAATGCCCCGGAAATTCTGGGTATTCCTGATAGGGCGAAATACATGCTTGAGCTCCGGCGGATGTGTTCTATGTCTGAGGGATCGAACACTGTCGCACAAGTTATGCCGTATGAGAATTTGGAAACCCTAGCAGAAACGAAATGATCGAGGTAGAAGGATATAGCACCATCCGCGACTGCCTTATTTCTGCTGACAAGTTGCGGTTATTCACAAGGAAAATAAACAAGCAAACATACACGTGTCTATCGGGGCGACAGACGCTCAAACCACGAGGTTCCAATGCATTTTTTAGCCTTGAGAACAACCAATCGCTTGCCGCAAAACCACCAACCAAGAAGATGCACTACAAATCATGTGAGGAGCATACGTTTTTCATAGATTGATATCATACCGATATGTCATCATGGGAAGCATTGCGCTGTTCCTCGACAGCCTTCAAAATGCATTGCACGGACGGATCGAAGAACGACGCAACATCAGACCTAAAAATGTGATCATGCCTGAGCACACCCACAAATGCTACTGAAAAACGGACATACCCGAGTATCTTGAGTTGGCCAGACCGGATGTTGAGCTTGAGATCCTTGTCGCGAGCAGAGCCAAATTTGATGTACTGGGGCTCGTTGACATCCCTGAACCTTAACTTCGTCGTCTTGTCGAAACACCTGGTAATGTGTTGAATATCATCAGAAAATTTCGAGTTCTTGAGTAATTCTTGAGAGAATTAGTCTCATTATGTTGTCCATGGGCACAATAGAAAAACACTTACCTTTAAGGAAGTCGGATGCACGGTTGGTGACGAAAATAGAACCATGGAAGTGGCCTATAGATGCCGAAAGTAAGTGACAATCAGCCTTGTTATTCAAGCGTTCTCACATTGTGGGGCAGCAATCTCTTCGAAAGACTGGCTTGTGGCGGGGGACGTGCGACGATAAGCGCTAATATCGATTGTTCCACCTCCCGCATCTATTATCAACACGCCCTTCTCTTCCTAGAGCCAATGATAAGCTGTTTGAACATCGCCTGTGAGTTGCATCGAAAAAAAAACTTACCTTCATCACACTAGCTGTTAGGCCACTCTGTACGCAGAAGTGAAGGCTGGCTTCGCCTTCTGTAACGAAGGAGAGGCGAGCATGTCCGTCCTCGGTATCGGAAATAAGGCCTGCCATCACAGCTGCTTTGCGCATTTGACTTTGCTGGGCACCCTCCCATCCGTTGGGATGGGTGAGAACAAAGTCAGCTGTCGCTGAGAGAGACCGCCAAAGCTCGTTTCCGAAAGCGTGTGTATCTTGAATATAGGTGCGAGTGCATTGATACAGATAACGCAAAAAATCTGCAAAGACGTCCACCGCCGTTTTGTTGCGGGGAAGCAATGGAATTTTATTGCTGACATGGAGGGCTGACTGAGTTTTTGGGCGGAGATGTAGTTTAAACCTGGGCAACAATCATTAGCGTCCATATGCTGAAGCGGAATGATCTTGTACCATTCCGCTTTGATCCATTGTCCATCCTCAGCCATATCATCGATTCCCTCTCGAACGGCCTCCGCCCCCGTGGCGCAGACCGAACCAGCCTGGTCGTAGTAGATAATGGTGGGTATCTTCGAATCACCACCCACTTGCTCTTGGGCTGGGAACCTAATCAAAGGCGTAAATGCACTGAGCTAAGGTGCACGGTGGCAACACAACAGCGTACCGTGTTACACCCAGGATTTCGGGCACCAGCCCTGGGTCGAGGATACTAATTTCTGATGTTCAAACCGGTAGTCGGACTGTCCGTTAATATGAATTACCTGTATGATATCCCGCTGTATGTGGTGCCCACATCAAAAGCGAGAACGAGTTTGCGAGAAACACCATTAGTATAAGGCGAGCGAGTGGTCATCAGGCTGAACAAGATGTGTTCGGTCCGTAGCCTGCTCACGTTCATCCCACTCTTTATAGGTTTCCACCTTCCAGCTGCGTAGATGTGATATCGAAACGTCTTCGAATCTTAGATCACAGCATGAGGCAAACACGTTGAGGAAAAACGGGAAACGCATGTTGAACTTGTTGAAAGGATGATCGACAAGCACCCACTACCATCGCTACTACCAACCATGCTCTCCTGGCTCGGCTTCGCAAGCAGAACACCACGAATGGACGCAGAACAAAAAGACTCCCATAATGACCGTTCAGCAACAGCTGCTGGACGAAACACACTGGCAGACGATCATCGAGGCACACCACATCACCAAAGTGTCCCACGCCACCGAGATAACGATAATGGCTTGCTCGAGCAGTTCTCAAGAATCGTAGAGCCTACTCAACTATTGCAGGCTCGTAAAGAGCCCAAGAGAGAGAGGTCTCAAGACTCGCGCAACGACAGTCGGGATGGCGACATGCAAGGATCAGTTTCTCGGCGCGAAACTAGAGAAGGGAAGAAAGATGGCAGTCGAAAGTTAAAGGAGGCTCGGAAGTACGGCAAGGAGGAAGTCAGGGTTTTGATGAAGGACAAGGAGGAGTTGAAGTCGGAACTGAATCAGACGATCAGACGTCTCCATTACGCCGAGGACACTAGTCATCATGTGAAGCAAAAACTTCGAAAAGCGGAGGAGGAGCTTCAACAACTAGTCGATCGAGATGCCGAAACCATAAACCACCTTCGCACACAGTTGGAATCCCAACACCGCCAGGGCCAAGCTTCGGAGGCTAAGATACGCCAACAGACGGCCGATATCAACGCCCTAAGGGAGCAGTTACGTCGAACAGAGGCCAATAACTCCCAGACCACCCAGTTATTGGATGTGCGAACTGCGGAGCTGAAGGGCGCCCAAGTCTTCTTGACGAAGGCAGACTCGTTCGCAGGAGCGGATTTGATCAAAATGGTGGAATCATTGAACTCCGAGATGTTCCAGGGTGCGGCGTTCATGTCAGAAGGGCTGGAATTCGACGAGGTGGCAGGGAGGAATGCAAGATTGAATGCACAAATAACGGAGCGCGCAAAAATCCTCCTGGGCTCGGTGATGTTCTCCCAACTTCTCGCAAAGCCGCCAACAGTCGATCCCCTTCCTTTGCAACTTGCGTTGCAGTCAGTCATGATCCTACGCTGCAGACAGATCATACAGCTATTGTGTCCCATGGAGTACGGAGACCATAACGATTTCCTCAAGAAGGTTTACAATGGGATCCAAGCCTCGGGTAAGCATTGCATCATACCACGGCAGAGAATTCAAGGCTGACAGCTCTTCCAGAGGAACAGGCTGTCACAGGCCGATGGCGCGCAATGACGCAAGCACAGCTAAGGCCTTCTCGATCATACGCCTCCCACATCGCGGAAGATCTCGTTAACGTCTTGATAGTCTGTGGGTTGTCGACGAGCAACTCCGAATATCAGGTCATAATCAAGGACATTAAACACCGCATGTCGCTACTTGAGAAGGCAGCTTTGCAACTCAGGGTGGCTCTTAAAGAAGGAGTCACTTCTGTCGATATTGAGCCGTTTGATATTTCGACCAGGGCTCAGTTCGACCCAACAAACATGGATGATGCGTACGGAGACAGCAGGAAGGAACGAAAACGCGGGGACGGGGAGCGCATCATGTGCACAACGGACATGGGATTGCGCAGAGTTCTGACGAAGCGCTCCGTTGATGGGCAAGTTCAGTCGTACTATGACGTCATCCTCAAGCCCAAGGTGGTTTTAGCCTCGTCCTTAACGGACGAGGGGGAGGCTCAAACGCCCTTAGGGTAGCAATCGGCAAGTAGGTTGCTTAGAGGAGGCCTGGATGTGGTTGTGAGGACATACGTTCGTGATCAGTTTTGGATATCTTGACGTAGTAGGTGTTGGAATGCTATGCTAACAGAACCCTTTAATGGATCATGGCTGCAAAGAAATGTAGATGGAGGCGACAATGATGCATCAAGCATCAGGTGAAACGATCCACAGATTTGCTTTCGTCGTGCGGATATGAAACACTCGCAGCATCGCAGCATGAACACGAGGTAGACAGGGATCAAGACACGAAGACACTGCATGTACTTTTGGTTTGGCGGTCGGGATCCAACGTGAATATGGGACGTCAACGTGGGCATGAAGAATAGTATAGATACAACAACCAAGGCAGACGCATTGACCATTCACACCATCGTTATGGCATCCCCATTCTCAATGCTAGGCATGCTGAGCAAGGCTCGCCGTGCAGCCAGCAAACGAATTTCATCGACAGATGACAATAATTCTGATTCTCGAAGTATCGCCAGCGTGTCCAAGGAGGACAAGAAGGCGAAGAAGCAAAGCTCCAAAATCCTGCGCGCTTTGGAGGAGAAGTCGAAGGAAGGGGGAAAGGACACTCTCTTCCCAACCACGTCTTCTGGATTGACGACCGTCGTCCCCGAGGCCACTACAACATCACAACCATTCTCCGGCAAGCCTGCTAGGACAGCTAGCGTCGGTACGGATGAGCTGGGCTTCTCCGTTGTCCCACAGCAAGCCACAACCACCATCCCATCTGAGTCGACTTCTGTTGATCCTTTCAACACCATTACACCATCGGGACCGAACTCCGTCGAGCCTTCCAGAACAGCAAGCGTCGGAACGGAGGAGCTGAGCTTCTCTGTCATCCCACAGCCGACCACACGCACGACCACACCCTCTGAATCACCCGCTAGAACAGCCAGCGTTGGAACAGAGGAATTGGGCTTCTGCGTCGTCCCACAGCAGATCACCACCACCACCATCACACCCCCTATCGAGCCCACCAGGCCTTCCAGCGTCAAAACAGACCAGTCAGACTTTTCGATCGGGAAGGCACAAGACCAGGAGTGGACAGCCGTCAGTGGCGATGTCGAGCCCTCAAACGCCTCTCAGCTTCTTCGCCCGACACTGGCGGCTGAGATCCAAGATCTTACGCGCGAGAAGGACGATCTTGCAATGCGCTTGAAGGCCGCAGAGGAAGCAGCAGCCAAGTCGCGGGCCGAGAGTGAAGAACGAATTCAACACCTGCTTGACGGCAATGCAGAGTTGAACGAAGGAAATGCTTCATTACTGAAGGAGGCCGATCGACTGCTTGACGAGTCGAAGGAAGCGAGGGAGCGAGCTCGTGTCCTTGAGGAGGATAAGGAGACGTTGGTGGCTGAGCTACGTTCCCTGAAGGCACGCCACGATCTTCTCACGCAGGAGAAGGCGAAGCAGGACGAGGAGCTTCGGCTTGTCCAGGAAGAGACGGAGGACCTCGCAGCTGAGCTGCGAGCTCTGCGAGCGGAGAAGGAAGAGTTGAGGGACGAAGTGGAAGCTGAGAAACAGACAAGAGTTGCTCTGGAGGAGGAGAAAGCTGGTCTAGCAACGGAGATACGGGAGCTCCAGGCTGAGATCGATACTAGGGACGAGGAGTTGGAGACGAAGTCCTCGAGAGTGAGTGACCTCGAATGGGACTCCGCAGACATGAAGGAACAGATGGCGCAACTGCGCGAAGACCTACTTCGCACAAGTAGGAGGCTTGTAGAGGCGCGGAATGGCGAGGCAGAGAAGACAACAGAGCTGACTAACCAAATGCGACGACTGCATGATAGATTCGGGTCGACAGAGCGACAGAATCGGATGTTGAAGGACCAGCTCCAATCTCACCTGGACGAGCTGCAGAGTCGTCGAGCTGACGATAGACAACCATCCTCCTATGCTGTAAACTCCGCCACCCGGCTAAAACACACGAGCGTCGTTACAGACGACGCGGTCCGCATCGTCGCTTTGCTCAATTCGGAGATATTCCAAGCGGCTGCTTGTTTATCTGACAAAGACTTTGGTGATAGGTCTGCCACGGTCGAGGGACACAACTTGGAAGTAGAGGCTCTCCGAGTAAAGGTGAAGGAGTATCTGGGAGATGACATGGTAACGGTGCTTGAATCAGTGTCGTCACATAGGGATGGACAAGAGTTCGACCCGTGGCCGCTTCAGATTGCTTTCCAGGTGTGTTTAGCCTACTGCTGCAACCGCATCATCACGTCGTGGTATCCGTGTCATTGGGAATATGACGCCTTCTTGGAGACGCTGTATTCGAGAATTCAAGGAGTCGGTAAGCATCCAACCCTCGTTGTCAGCTGCAATGACTGACAGACGTGTTATAGAAGAACCAAAAGCCGCTGAGAGATGGCGGGCCATTACCCGCGCCCGACTTGGCCCTTCGGATAACAGAAAAACCCAGATGATAGAATTCATGTGCAGCTCTCTTCTCAACATCCTAGTTCTGTCAGGTTGGTCGAAAGACTGCCCCTTGACGCGGAGTATCATGGAGTCCTTCGAGGATAAACTTTCGATCGTGGCAACGCTAGCTATTCGCCTCCACGTCATGCTCGGGGAGGATAGATCGCCTGAGCGACTGGAGACGCTCTTCATACCACCAGGAACCGACTTTGACGATGAGTTTATGGACAACGATTACGCTGAGGGGAATGAGTCGGATGATGGAGATGAGGTGGTCTGCACTTCCGATATTGGCCTGCGAAGAGTGACGAGAGACGGGATAAACGTAATCGTGAAACCCAAGGTCATTGTACCTGCCGTTCTCGAGCAGATGGGGCTTTAGACGTTCACTGAAGAAAGCTGTTAGAAATTTTCACAGAAATTATTTAATGACTTACGTAATCAACTTAAACCAGCTAACGTCCAGAACGATCTTTTAGGGAAGCGGGGAGACAATGAATCTGGTTGTGTGTTCAGTAGATACCATGAGGCGATGCAGATGGACTCACGTGGACATACATAAGGGGCGTATAACGAGAATGAAGTGTCCAATCGACGTTTGAGTGGTTGAGCTTGGGTTGAGCAAAAAAACCGCACTCTGCACTTGGGCCTCTGCTGCGGTACTTCATCCTGCCGCATTGAGCGAGGAGCTGAAAGGAGCGCAAAGGTCCCCTAATCAACCAGCCGAAATGGCGCATCCAGTGATAAGGTGGTACTTCCAAACCACACCAGTTTGAACTTGACGGTTTGGCTCCCCAGGATTCCCGCGGTAACAATTGAACAAAACTCGGAGACTGAGAAACTCCCTGAAGGCGATGAAGGCAATTCCTATGTGGCGGCCGACTAATCAGTATCTACTGAACACACGAAAATTCAGTAAAAAAACCGTGTCTCATGGTGTGCTTTATTGCCATCGAATTCAAGACTGACCTTTGTATCATGAATAAAACTTCCAGTCCCGAGGACGTCTGGGTACTGATTTTGAGCTGATGTGCACAATTGGTCTGTCCGCCGCAAATGTATGATCTCGCTCCTCCGCAAGGTCGACTGGTCCCACGTTTTTGGTCGATAAAATTAACTAGCAGTTTGAAACGGCGAGCAAGGGAACCACGGTAAACGCCTGCGCAACACGATAATGCGTTTCAGCTCCAGCTTCACGGATGATTGCATAGATAATCACTGATGATATCTTTGTGTACGTCAATCCTCGTCCAACGTCGTTGGACGCGAAGACTGCAGCAACAGTAAGATACAGAAGTCTTCCAAGGAGTACAATTGCTTACGGTACCCCTAGGCGACGTTCTCGCATCCTCTCGTCTTCCACGACGCGTTGGAATGCTGCGCGGTTTCAGGAGAGTCGTGCTCCGTGGTGAAGCTGATCGTGGCAAGCGTCCATTGCGTTCTTGGCTTGCTTCTCTTTGCCATTTGCACCCTAAATACGAGGGTTCATCGTTGAGTGTTATAGGGTGACGGTGGCCGAGTTCATCAGGCGTTGGGTTGTCGGAGTTGGGAACAAGTTGCAAGTCACAATGATGACAACGCTTTCCTCATTGTTTCCACCAACCGCCACGGACAACATGGGCCAGTGAGGGCTACAAAGACTATCCGAGTATCTCATGGTCCTCAACGTCGCGGAAGCTCTCGCGTCTTCATTCTTTCCGACTCAATACATCGTCCACATCGTCGTTGGGATCGTAGTCGTCCTCACACTACATGCCGTCTGCCAAGGCCGACGGACAACCCGTGAACGAGATCTACATGCCAGAACGGTGTTGATAACGGTGAGTACAACTGCATTTCGCATTGCTCTGTGGTTTGACCGCTGAGAACACCCTCTAGGGCGGATTCACACCACTGGGCCTAACCATTCTCCGATCACTAGCCCAACGCGGAGCCCACATAATCGCTCTTTCCCCAGACCCAATCGACTCTGCCAACATAACTATCCTCATCAGTCTCCTCCGCACAACCACCTCGAATGAACAAATATTCGCAGAGGAATGCGATGTCTCCTCACCTGCCTCCATACGCTCTTTCTGTACTCGATTTCTCACCGGGCAAGACCAGAGAATCGACGCTATCATCCTCGCGCACGAGTACCACCAAATTGGCTCGTTCTTCTCGCGTATGGATAAAGAAAAGGAGCGAAATGTGGGTTCGTTAGCGACGTTCTTGATCACCACGCTGCTATTGCCAGCGCTCCTGGTTGCTCCTGTGGAACGAGACATTCGAATTATCAACGTCGTCAACCCATTTTATGCAGCAGCCGCTACCCTCTTACCTCTTTTCGATCCACCAAAAGAAAGGTCTGTTTTCCTGAGAGAAGGCATCCGTTCTCTACGAAGCATCATCGTCACACGACATCTCCAACGTATTCTAGATGCACTCCCAGCTGCACAGATACCCAAGCCGGAGGAAGGCTCGTCCTCTGTCCCTGTGGTCAATACTAAAGCACAAAAGTCAAACATCGTCGCTGTGAGCGTGTGTCCGGGCATAAGCAGAGTCGACACCGTCTCAGCTCTCTTCAACGCCGATTGGATGATACGTTCCACACCTTTCGGAATAGCCCTGTGAGTCTTTTTGCATCGCAGCACGATACGTTCTGATTGTACGTAGATACATCATCCTCCAGCCCATCCTTCGAATCTTCTTCAAGTCCCCAGAAAGGGCTATGCAATCCGTGCTACACGCCCTTTTCCTCCCAACGCCATTCAAAGTCCCTGTGCAACCAACCCAAGTACCCGATGCGATGCCTGAAGAAGTGTTGAAGCCCGGCGCATTGTACCGAGAATGTGCTGTCGTCACATTGAAAGTGTCTGTTCCCGAGAAGCTTGCGTTATCGGACCCGAAGGTTTCCTCCGAGTCATCACTAAAGGGAAAGGGGAAAGGGAAAGCTGGAGAAGAGGTATTGGAGATCCCGGATGATGGAGAATACGGCGGGGAGGTTGCTGGGAGGCTCGTTTGGGAAGCGTATGAGGAGGCTTTGAAGGTGTGGGAGAAGGAGAACCCGGCCAGTGAGCAGGATTTGAAGAGAGAGGAAGAGAGAAAGCGGGAGCGGGAGAAGGTTGTAGACGAGGTCTCTCCGTATTGAAAGGACATTGGTAGACTTCATTCCAGTAATTCTTTTTTATTATGATCAGTTAATGTGTATGCCACAGACACGCTTATTTTGAAGGCAAAAGGGTCGGATCGAAGACTCGGTAACGACAGGATACCATCGCCGTGAAGAAGCAGAATAAGTACTCCTGAAACGGCGGTACAATACAACATTGATAGCTGGCCGCTACTGAAACAAACTTGGGTCCCAAGAAACCACTGCGTCCACCAACTTTGTTCATCACAGCGGACAACTGCATGACCATTGACAACATCCTTGACACGAAAATCTGGTATCACGCCTTCAAAACTTTGTGATCATGCGAAATCATGCAGCAGCGTAAGGATGTGCTCGGGCGTCGTCGAAAGGTGGTGTCAGCGTAAGGTGAATCCTGACAGGTGGGTCTTTCATCCAGTCTGTTTTGTTACTGAAATTTCTGTCAGCTTTCTGAAAACCATGTGTACTTCAAGTTGAGTATTGCTTGAGTGGCATATCATCAAGCGTTGTCTGAATACAGAAGGTTTTGCAGCAGAATACATGGTGAGATGGCCGAGCGGTCTAAGGCGCCAGACTAAGGACTAGGACATTATGTCTACAAACGTTGTTCAGCAACATCTGGTCCTCCGGGGCGTGGGTTCGAATCCCACTCTCATCACTCCTTCCAATCCCAGCGTGTATTTTTTTTTCATGCGTAGCGCAAAGTTATGTCTTGAGCAAGTCTTGACAAGCAAGTTCTTGGCCATTATTGCTTTTCAGCTGAAATGGAACGCTGTTAGACTTTTCTTGTGTTTCAAAACTCTCATAGTGTCCGCGGCCGACTTCACCGCAGCTCTTAGAGAGTCGCTGTCCCGAGATCGCTGCTCTGGCAGTGGCAGCTCTGCGCTTCAGTCGTTTCGTATGCCAGTCTTCTCATACTTGTCGACCCATTCCCTGACGATCCACCTTCTGTAGATAACGATGTCGCTTGACTACATTTCCTCCTTTCCCTCACCCTCGTCCTTACTTTGTCCCAGATCTTGCCATCCAGCTCCGACATATCCATAACGAACCTGACGAGGGTCACGCATTGGTGCAACGGGAATCGCAACTTCGCCAAAGCCTCTTCCGTCGTTGTTGCATCTCCAAGACTTGTCAAGCCCTCTGGTGGAGTCGGCGGATGAAAGGGAGGTTAATGGCCTGGAGAATATCAATGGGAAAAACTGGCTCTGAGTGACAAACGACTAGAGTTCATCGATGCATCTCGGGGTCAGTTCGTGCTTCTTCTTCTCTCTGTCTGGGGTTTAAGCCTGTTTCCACTCTAGCTTCCTGGGTCGGCGGGCCAAGCGAAGTCAACGACTGTATCAAAGTTGACGTCCGCATATCAGATCACCAACTCATGGTACTGGCTTCAAACTCAAAGGTTGTCTTCCTCATCCAAGGACGTCGGATTTCAACGAATCCATAACAAAGGCTCGCGCATATAACGACCAAGTTCATAAGTACTGTCATCCCATGGCCTCCATCGCGCTCTCATTCTGCCTACTTACACAAACGATAATAGAACTTTGCATGCACATCCTGGTCGCGAACAACTCCGACGCAGAGGAACTAGAATTCGCCGCTGGGTTTATGTACCTCGGCGCATTCGGAAAATCTTGACTACATAGACCCCCCCTTCGGATCGAAAGCGTCGACGACACATGCCCTTTCTTTTATTCAACTATCTCTGTACGATTTTGGATCCCACGATTGAGGAATCCACTCGCTTGCAAGTCAACGTGACCACCAATTACGAGGGCTCTAGGCTGTCCTCTGGGATTACCTTTGGAGGCTATTGCGCATAGGTCAGTGATACTTAAGTGCTTCGGATGTGTTGGGTTAACAGTTGCACCTTTCGGTAACAGTTCGTTATAAAAATTGAAAAACAGTTTAGAGTGGATGTTCATTGTGACTAGGCGACTCGTACAAACCGTTGCTCTGTGAATCTACGCGGTACGTACGCAGCGTCCAATGTCAACGAAACACAGTTGATATGAGAATCAGTTGAATAGTACGCCCAAGGATTAGAATCGTTGGGCCGTGTGGGTAGTGACACATGAAACGTTGGGAAGAAGGAAGAAAATAGCCGTGTAGAAACAGTTTCCTATAGTCGCCAGAGGTTAGGGCGAGGCCCATGGATTTTGGTCTTTGCTCAGCTTGAGCTGTCGCCAAGGACGGAGAGAGCCCTCGACGAAAAGGCTACCCAGCAGCTCTGAGCTTCGGTGGGAGAAAATGAGCGTATAACCACATGCTGGGTGCAACCAATTGGACAATTGTTGTCCGTGAGAGGTTTGCCTGCGGCCACTGGCGAAGAAATGATGCTGAATTCATGAGCTTGATACTGTCAGTATCTCGTTTGTGAGCCGACGCACGAAGTTGTGCAAGTGGCAGGGTTGTGCGAGTCATAGTAACTGGCCAAGAGGGTGCGATCATCGAGCTGGGGTTTGCACTGGTGTTGTGGAACCAGAATCTGAGTAACGAAGGGGGTCAGTCAGCCGGGCAAAAGACCAAGAGATGCAAGGTGACAAGGAATTCAGAAGCCGGGGAAGGGAAGATGGGTGAGTTATGCTAGGCTGATAACTTACCAAAGGAGTTATCCCCACTCTCCGGCTCTCCGAATCAAGCTTACTCTTATGACCAGGCGGACGGCAGTGACCTAGATTGCTGTATTTTGAGGCAGCTGGCGAGGAGATGATGCTGGATCCACGAGCTCCGTACAAAGGCGGCCTAGCTGGGTAGATTCCGCCATAATATCCCTTCGCGGGCCGATGCACAAAGGGGTGCAAGTGGTTTAGTTGTGCGGTGAACGCGAAAGACGGTGCGATCATGGAAGTCAGGATAGTTGGGGTTTGCTGGTGTCGTAGTATCAGAACCTGAGTAATAGACAAAGGTTATCAGCCGGGCGCAAAAGGTCAAGTGGATGCAAGGTGGTAGGAGATTCGGAATCCAACGCAGGGAGAAAAGCACGAAGGAGGAGGTAACCAACGTACTGAAGTCAAAGCGTCCGTTTTCCCCACTCCCCAGCTCTCCGGCTCAAGCTGGCGTCTCTTCCTTTTGAGAGATGTGAATCAGGCGGACGAGCATGACCTAGCGTGGCTTGTGGGGCTTCTCGAGACCGTATTGACGTCGTCGAGCTGGGCGTCATTAAAGACGTCAGCCAGGTCGCTGCCACGTTTGAAGCAGGCACTGTCGATTATGGCGGAGAAAACTAACTGTCAACGGAGTTTCCTCCGGATGTAGAGTATTTTCGAGCGGGTAGCTGAGTCGGGGTTTGCAGAGGGCAAGCAGAGCAAAAAGGTTCGGCGACGCAAGGCATTGATTGCAAGCCTGTTTGCAATGTAAGCATCCAGTAAACGTTGGAATTTCAAGATTCGATTGTCATACCACTAAAAACCAGCGGTTCGCTGAGGATTGGGGGTCTTGTAGGTTCCAGAAGCACGATATTCGTGAGCGATGTTACAAAGAACAGTCTGGGAAGAAAATATCAGTATACAGGCAGGGGATCGAGAAAAAATAGACTAGTGGAGCATGAGGGGGGGACTGCTGCAAGTTCTGTTGCAGCAGAGACGGGGATAAAAATGGAAGGTAGAAAGGAATGCAAATCCAATGGAAGGGGGAACTCACTCAGAACCGATGCCGTCAAGCATTCTTGCAATGAAGGGCGAGGGCCCGTACGATAACTTTTCGCCTTTGAATCAGAACAGCTTCCCACATTGAGTGAACGTTGACGAAAGTGGCCTTGGGATTTCGTTTCCATGCCGGGGAGCAGCAGGAGGTAGGGATGTCCAGCGTATCTTCCTCCTCATGCGCGCACTCGTCTCTTGGCCTCCTGTGGTGCTCTTGACGAATTATGGAGCGGGATGACGAGAATATGATTTTTTCTGCGCGAAGACACTTGACTGAGGGTGATGGTGCTGGGGAGGGAGAGCGGAGGTTGTGATTAGCATCCATACTATCATTCGCCCTTCGCCACCGTTTGTATGAGCGAGTCCCCTCTCAGGCTTGCCAATCCACTCCCGCTTCCGTTTTCTCTAAGTAACGCACACGGCTACTCAACTCAGACCGGAGAGTTGACTCTATCATAAACGCGCACGAGCGCCACCAAATTAGCTCACCTTTCTCACAAGGAAAAGGAGCGGAACGTGGGTTCGTTAGCGATGTTCTTGATCACTACGCAGCACCCTTGGTTGCTCCTGTGGAACGAGATATTTGAATCATCAACATTGTCAATCTGCAGCGACCATTTCCCCCCCCCTTCGGTCCTATGAAAGAACGGTCTGTCTTCCTTAGGCGAAGGCATCCGCTCTCCACGAAGCATCGTCGTCACAAGGCATTCCAACGTTTCCTAGATGCTCTCCCAGCTACGCAAGTTCCCAAACCAGAGGAAGAGCTCGTCCTCCATCCCAGTGGTCAACGCCAGGATGCAAAGTCGAACATCGTCGCTGGGAGCGTGTTTCTGGGCACAAGCAGAGTTTATAATCTCAGCCCTCTTCAGTGCCGATGGAAGATACGTTCTAGACCTCAGTTCGGAATACCTTGGTTAGTTCGTTCGCACCGCAGCATGATGCTTTCTAACTGTGCGTAGTAACATGATCCTCCAGCCCGTCCTTGCAGTATTTTTCAAGTTCACACAAATGGCTGTGCTGCGCTATACGCCCTTCCCCTCCAACGGCGTTCAAAGTTCCTGCACAACCGACCCAAGTCGATGTAATGCTTGAAGAAGTATAGAAACCCGGCTCCTTGTACCGCGAAATCACCGCGAAATGCGCTGTCGTCACATTGGAGGTGCCTGTTCCTGGGGAGATTGGTCCGGAGGTTGCGGATTGGTCCGGAGGTTGCGTCATCGAAGAAGGGAAAGGGTAAAGCTGGAGAAGGGGTATCGCAGATCCTAGATGATGGAGAGCATGGCGGGACGTTGCTGGTAGGCTCGTTCGGGGGTTGTGTGAGGAGGCTTCGAAGGTGTGGGAGAGGAGGCCTCGAAGGTGTGGGAGAAGAAGAACCCGGCAAGTAAGGAGAATGCGAAGAAGGAAGAAAGGGAATGAAAAGAGGATAAAGTGGAGTAGACGACGTTCCTCCATGATTCTGATGATGATATGGTAGACGTAATCCCAGCAGTTGCCTTTCAGTTATTTAGGTGGAGTAAACACAAGCATATTTCATACATTGACATATCTCGAAGAGAAAAAACATCTAAATTACGACGCGTAAATACGTCTACAGATTCAAATCCTTGAATAGCAACAGTGGTCGTGCGCTGCACGACCCGCATGGCTCGACACTAGATTATCGAGAAGCAGGATCATATATGATCTTCGCGGGTGTTCTGAAATATAGAACAACGTTAGACGAGCTCTCAGCACGATGCGAAGAGGATTAATCACCTCCTCAAAACCCCATTATCTTTCCAGCAGAGCTGCGCCTTGAGCTCCGTGAGGCCGAACAGCAAGGCAACTTCAAAGCTTGCTTTGTAGTACACCCTACCGTCCTTACCTCGGTGAGGACCCAAAGAGTGACCTAGCTTCGAAAGATCGACCTCAATAGTACAGAGAGTGGAATACATCCCTACGAGGGAAGTTACGGTTATCAAAAGATCGCCAGCAAGGGAAAGAGAGACGTACCAGCATCGATATCTCTCCATCGAGGATTAGCTAGTTCTCCACGGTAGCAATCGAGGCTAACCGTTACTCGCGACAATTCCGGCAGAGAATCAGTTTCTTCAAAGTACGCCCTACGGAACTCTTTTGTCTCAGACGTTTGCGTGTTCTGCACATAGTGAGTGAGCGACATCCACGTGAGACAAAGGACGGACAAATGGCCAACCTTTGGCAAAATAACGCTAAAGGCCCCTGGGATACGTCGATATCCTCCGGCAGAGGTAAAGGATGATGCGGATCTCTGTAGGTGCTCGGCATCGTAGATGTCATAAGGGATGTGGCAGTGGATGCCATAAGTGAATCTCGACACGCGACTCCTGACGGAGTGATCAAGGTAGAAAGAAAGGGCACCATCCGCAACGGCTTTGTTTCTGAAAGAACATAAGGAGGGCAGCACCTCATTCGCACCAATTGACTTACACGTGACTATCCGGACGGAGGACAGCCAGACCCATCTGGCTGCAAGCTTCCTTCAGCTCGGCAAAGAGCCAATCGCTAGCTGCAAACCCCCCAACAAGAAAGACCGACTGTAATAACAGTAGAATGAAAAGATCCCAATGCAACATAGTCAAGACCGACCTTGATGGGCTTTCGTGCTTTTTGTGATTGTTCTGCGATGGCATCGACGATACAATTGACCGAGGGTTCAAAGAAAGATGCAACGTCCAACCTAAACGGAATCCTTAGACAGATCATCACCAGGCAACGTCCATCTTACCCAGAAAGCTTCAATTGGCCTGAACGAATTCCGACAGCCAGATCCTTGTCTCGGAGGGAGCCAAATCTGATGTATTGTGGTTCGTCTTTATTCCTGAATCGCAATTTCGTTGTCTTGTCAAAGCAATCCGTCATCTGGGGCACGTCCTCCAGATATTTTGAGTTGCGGAGGTGGGCTACAACAGGTATGAGGTGGATCAGAGAAAGCATCTAGAAGCCTCACCTTCCAGATAAGCACGAGCATTGAAGGTGACGAAAATGGATCCACTGAAGTGACCTGCGACAACATAAGGAATAAACGACTTCCAAACTTTCAAGTCAACTCACATTGGGGTGGAGCAATCTCCTCAAAAGAATCAGCCGAGCCTGAAACACAACTATAAGCACTGAGGTCAATCGTTCCTCCACCCGCATCAACAATCAAAACGCCAGAATCCTTCAAAACATCGTCAGGAAGTGATCATAAGAACCCATCGTTATCTTACCTTCATCGCGCCTGCCGGCAGCCCACTCTGGATGCAAAAATGAAGACTGGCTTCTCCCTCAGTAACAAATGACACGCGTGCCTGGCCCGCCTCGTCGTTAAGTACTAATCCTGCAAGCACAGCTGCACGGCGCATCTGCTCTTGCTGTGCGCCCTCCCACCCATTCGGATGGGATAAGACGAACTCGATGGTGTCCTCCATCGAGCCCCACCAATTATCGCCCATCCCATGCACCTCCTCGATGTACGTTCGGGAGCACTGGAACAAATATTCCAGAAAGTCGGCGAACACTTCGATGGCATTTTTACTTTCAGGCAGAGGAGGAATCTTCTCTCTAATCTCTTCCATAGACCCTGGGGTTTGTGGTCGGAGATGAAGCTTGAACCTAATTCAATCTTTTTAGAAACTGGGTAGTTGACGTGGAGGAGTAGACTGGGCAAACCAAGGACAACTGAGCCACTGCTCTTCTTCTTTCTGAGTGGTAAGACCTTCGCGTAAGGCTTCTGCGCCGGCCGCACGAACTACGCCATATTGATCGTAGTAGAGAAGGGAGGGTATCTTGCAGTCCCCACCGACTTGTTCTTGAGCAGGAAATCTGTGAAGATCGTTTACCTTGGACGGTAAGGAAAGGCGCTGACTGTTACCTAGTAACTCCTCTGATTTCCGGAACATGACCTGGATCAAGAATGCTAGGAACATATGAAGAGTTAATTAAAATTCGAAGGCTTGAAGGTACATACCTGTACGAGACCCCGCTGTATGTTGTCCCGACATCGAACGCCAGGACAAGCTTCCTGCGAGGGCCGGTGTATGGAGAACGGGGTTGCATGTTGCTCAAAGGCGAAAGTGTCACAACCCGTCGCCAACCTTCACACTTTATGTTGGACGAGTCGGCTTGAATCGGTTACGACATGCAGCTAACACGTTGGAATAAACTTCGATGGGGAGTCTGGAACTTGATCGAAACATGGGGAGACAGCATCAGTAAAACATGGTATGGAGTGGTGTGAGAGACATGAGGATGAGAAGCCACGACATCAAGTTCGAGATTCAAGCTTCAGGCCTTTAGGACGATAATTTCCCTTCAGCCGCGCAAAACACGTGTTGAGGTAGCACCGCTCATGTTCGAAACATTGTCCATGTCATTCCAGGACGTTCGACCAATATAGGTACCCTGAAAATAGGCGAGAAAATAGTCAATAGGTAGTCGGATAGTGCTTAAATAAAGTAAAAACGAACTTCGGATGCTTGGCTACGGCCGATTTTGCATGGTTTTGTTCGGTATTTTGGAAAAGAAGCGTCTTTCATTACGAGGCAAAGTCCATTAGGCCGAGATTAGCCCTGCCAGGTTTTGAATATATCAACAAGGTTCCATTCGCCTGCAATTCGCCTGGTATCATTTCAATAAAACGCGTCAACGTGAAGAAAAGAACTCACGTTAAATTCGGACGTGCGTGGATTCCGTCCAAGTGGTCTTACTAGGGACTGCTGTTCGGGATGATCGATGAATCGATGAAGACTGAGACTGGTCATGATGGTGTCCAATGTGCATTCTCCATGAACATTTGGCAGAAAGATTCAAAGAATCAACTTGAAAGATTACCTTGATGTCACGTGGTGTTTATTGAGCGTAGTAAAAACTGATGCTTTCTTAGTACAAGCTACAACCACATCCAGGCCTTCTCTCAGCTATCTAATCGCTAGATTACTCCCTGAAGGGTGTTTGAGCCTCCGCCTCGTCCGTTAAGGACGAGGCTAAAACAACCTTGGGTTTGAGGATGACGTCATAGTACGACTGAACTTGCCCATCAACGGAGCGCTTCGTCAGAACTCTGCGCAACCCCATGTCCGTTGTGCACATGATGCCCTCCCCGTCCCTGCGGTTTCGGGATTCCTTCCTGCTGTCTCCGTACGCATCATCCATGTTTGTTGGGTCATACCGAGCCCCGGTCAAGATATAAAACGGCTCAATATCGACAGAAGTGACTCCTTCTTTAAGAGCCACCTTGAGTTGCAAAGCTGCCTTCTCAAGTAGCGACATGCGGTGTTTGATGTCCTGGATGATGACCTGATATTCGGAGTTGCTCGTCGACAACTTCCCACAGACTATCAAGACGTTAACGAGATCTTCTGCAATGTACGAGGCGTATGATCGAGAAGGTCTTAGCAGTGCTTGCGTCATTGCGCGCCATCGGCCGGCGACAACCTGTTCCTCTGGAAGTGCTGTCAGCCTTGAAATCGTTGCCGTGGTATGGTGCAATGCTTACCCGAGGCTTGGATCCCTGCGTAGATCTTTCTTAGGAAATCGTTATGGTCTCCGTACTCCATGGGACACAATGACTGTATGATCTGCCTGCAGCGTAGGATCATGACTGACTGCAACGCAAGTTGCAAAGGAAGGGGATCGACTGTTGGCGGCTTTGCGAGAAGTTGGGAGAACATCACCGAGCCCAGGAGGATTTCTGCGCGTTCCGTTGTTTGTGCATTCAGTCTTGCATTCCTCCCTGCCGCCTCGTCGAATTCCAGCCCTTCTGACATGAACGCCGCACCCTGGAACATCTCGTAGTTCAATGATTCCACCATTTTGATTAAATCCGGTTCTGCGAACGAGTCTGCCTTTGAGGACAAGACTTGGGCACCCTTCAGCTCCGCAGTCTGCACATCCAAGAACTGGGTGGTCTGGGAGTTATTCGCCTCTGCTCGACGTAACTGCTCCCTGAGAGCGTTGATATCGGCCGTTTGTTGGCGTATCTTAGCTTCCGAAGATTGGCCCTGGCGGTGTTGGGATTCCAACTGTGTGCGGAGGTGGTTTATGGTTTCGGCATCTCGCTTGGCCAGTTGTTGAAGCTCCTCCTCCGCTTTTCGAAGTTTTTGCTTCACATGATGACTAGTGTCCTCGGCGTAATTGAGACGTCTGATCGTCTGATTCAGTTCCGACTTCAACTCCTCCTTATCCTTCATCAAAGCCCTGACTTCCTCCTTCCCGTACTTCCGACCCTCCGTCGACTCTAGACTCCCATCCTTCTTCCCTTCTCCAGCTTCGTGCCGAGAAATTGGTCCTTGCATGTAGCCATCCCAACCGTTATATCGCGAGTCTTGAGACCCCTCTCTCTTCGGCTCTTTGCGAGCCTGCAATAATTGAGTGGGCTCTACAGTTCTTGAGGACTGCCCCAGCAAGTCATTATCCTTATCTCGGTGGCCTGGGCCACTTTGGTGATGTAGTGTGCCGTGATGATCGTCTGCCAGTGTGTTTCGTCCAGCAGCTGTTGCTGAACAGTCGTTATGGGAGCCCTTTCGCTCTGCGTCCATTCAGGGTGTTCTGCTTGTGAAGCCTAGCATGGTTGGTATCAGCCGCTTGTCGATCATCCTTTCAGTTCAAAGCAACGTGTTTGCCTCATGCTGTGATCTAACACTCGAAGACATTTCGATATCACATTTGCCGGTGGGCAGCTGGAGGGTGGGACAAGCGGACCGAACGAGTCTTGTTCAGCTTGATGGCCACTCGCTCACCTTATAATGGTGTTTCTCGCAGACTCGTTCTCGTTTTTGATGTGGGCACCGCATACAGCGGGATATCATACGTTACTGCCAGATCTTCCAGCCACCAGTTTCAACATCAGAAATCAGTATTTTCGACCCAAGGCTGGTGCCCGAAATTCTGGGTGTAACAATGTATGCCGTTGTGTTTGGAAGACGAAACAAACATCAGACGGACTGCATCACACAGCAGGGCGACGAGACTACCCCGCTCGCTTGAGACGCATCTCTAAACGGCGTTTCCGTGTCGGGCTGGGTGGGGGAAGAATCGCCATGGGCGTGCCCTCGACAGTGCAAGGGATGGTCATAGGGGGTCGGGTATATTGGCACTAGGGGCCTTAGGTAGTCTACAGAGTTGTAAGGTCTGACATGNGG